ATTTACAGTACACTGAAAAAATGATTCAAATATGATTCCTTGAATTTACTAAATACTTTTTAGGATAAGTGGTTGTAAAATTTATTTTGGCTGAATTTAAACAACCAAATTAAGTTGAACATGACTAGATTTAAATTGTTTGTTTAAATTCAACACATAAAATGGTTTTCAACAATTTAGCAGAATTCAATTTTTCAGAGTGTAGCAAAATTGTTCAAAGCAATAAAAAATGAGTAATTAAATTACATTTATTTTTAATGCAATTTTATTAAAGCAATTAGCAATGACTTACTTTTTTGAAGCAACTCGCCCAACACTATTTCAAAAAACACGGTTTACTATATGCTAGAAGAAACCTGAGGCTATTTTGAAGATGATTCCCTCTCTGCAAATCTACAAGAGTCCTGAGGTGCAGCACATCAGATTATCAGAGCAAGTCCAAGCTTTTTCTCCACGCGCACTAAGGAAAACGCAATTTCCAGATTTGAGGCAGCACTCATTCGAAGACAGAGATAGTAGTTTTTTTGCGGCGGAGGGTGGTGGGTTTGGTGGTATCAAAATAAAACAGGGAGGTTTGTTTGCAGTAGAGATTTCCTTCTTTTCACTGTCAGTGATGAGCTGAACCACAGCAAGGGTCAAAGACTAGATAAAGACCTACGATCCAGAAAACAATCAGGAGGCGTGTGGAGCATTAAAGCAAGCTGTACACTGCTGCAGTGATAAAATGGAGAAATGCTTATATTAATATGCAGAGGAACTGCTATGCAAGAGTTAACACGCAGAGATGATGTGATAAAGAAGGCACGGATTGATCTGTCATTTACCCACAAAATAAAAATGACTTTTGAAATGTGTTATTGATCAAAACAGTTTGACACTGTTAGGATTTTTCACCTATGTAATGTGCACACATTCTGCTACAGACTTTTAATCCACCCAGCAGATACCTTGATGTCAAAACATAATCAAAAACCACATCAGTAAACATTTTAAAAATGTTAATGTCAAAAATACATCTATCATTGGTGTCAAAAATCGATTACAGGACTGTACAACAAATATTAGATGGGAATTCAATGTCATTTTGACAAGGTAGGAATACCTTCCTCATATTGCAGTTTTTCATGATTGCTAACACACTAAAAATAAACTTCTCCCACAATTAGTACAACCGTACACTCAAGGAGCAAAACACAAGGCCAGATCTGCACAACTGTAAGCACATTGTCAGCTTCACACTTTTTGCAAAACATTACACAGTCATTTGCAAATCACACAACATACTTGGATGCTTTTGACAAAGAAATTTTTCATAATGGAATTATCTTGCAATTTCAAAGCAAATTCCTTCAAATGATCACACACATGAACCATAGGTTAAACACAGCCATGAGGTGTGCACACACACTGCTGTTAAACTGTAGACTCCAATCAGCTGCAACCACAATAAAAAAGCAACAGGTATAAACTATTAGTCTTCAATAAACATGTTTACAATAGAATAGCAATAAATAGTTGTCTTCAGTAAATATGTTTAACAGGAGCTATAAATATTAATCTTCAGTAAATAAGGCAATGTTGCAGAATGGATGAGAAGCACAGAAGTGAGGAAGATAGGTTTGTTAGGATAGGGCAATATTTAGCTATCAGTCTATCACTGTTTGGTGAATACTGTATGTTCATGTACTTTAGCAACATCTCTCAAACCCTGATTATATAAGTATTAGTCAGTTAAAAATGTTTAAGATTGATTACACCAGTGTGTAAACGAAGCAAACAGATTTATTTTGAATGAGGCGTGTGTGTTCTGTATGGTGCTAAAATTGTGTTGTGTTATAGAGTTGTAAAGTTTTGGATGAAGTGTTTCATTTTGCATTCAAGAGTTCACACTTAGCTGATGATTGATTATAAGCAAGTTTGGCATGCTGTCCCGGGAGAGAGCCCTGTGCTCCCTCCCGTTTGCAGGGCGAGAGGGGAGCCTTGAGCTCAGGTAGATCTCGACAACTCCCCCTTGATAAGAGCTGATGACTAAAATGAATGCTCTAAAGAGATATTCTACTGGATGAGAGATTGACTGTAGTGCTAAATTTAGATTGAGCAATTCACTTGTTGTCCATGTATTTAGAATGTGGGAGGAAACCCGAGGACCCGGGGAAAACCCACGCGAGCACAGGAAGAACATGCAAACTACGCACAGAAACGACCGCCAGCCTATTAAAGGACTAGAACCGGTGACGTTCTTGCTGTGAGGCAACTGTGCTAACCACTGGGCCACCGCACTGCCCTATGGAGGGAAAGGTGAAGAGGTAGGGGTGGAAGGGGGGATTCTTCAAATCGAAGATGACTGTAGTGAAAAACCCTGGCTCTTTTATGGGTTAGGAATGGCTTGATTGGTGGTTCACACATGCTAATGCAGAACCAGGCGTGTTCAATCATAATCATGTGATCTTCTCGAAATTAGTTTATGAATAAACTTCACAAAGTTCTGATGTGTTCTGCTGTTTTTGTGTGTGGATGTGTAAATTGTGTGTATTGTTTTGACAAATTGAGCCTTTATTTCAAAATTGTGCTAAAACAATTAGAAAAAAACTGTAAACAATTTTTCATTATTTTGGTCGGCAAAATAATGTCAATGTGTGGATATCAAATGGACATCAAGGTTTCGACATCAAATTGATTTCCATTCTTGATATATATATATATATATATATATATATATATATATATATATATATATATATATATATATATATATATATATATATATATTTTTTTTTTTTTTTTTTTTTATGTAGTTTTGACATCAAGATGCACACTGGGCAGTGTTGTAAAACAATAACACTGACATTTATATACATTGACGGGATGCAAGATAAACCGTAGATGTTACTAATAATATTTTGGCATTTGACTTACTTGGTTGTTGATGTAACTGGTCCAGTAAAACAAGACGATCAGCTTCAAGGCTCATTCAGTTCGATTAGACAGAGTCATCATCTTTGAGATCATGGCCAGGTAAACAGTCCTGTTTACAAAACCTACAATCTAATAACAGTATAGCAAGGTTGAATAACAGGACCTACAGTATTAGCTGCTCTTAGAGAGAGAGGGAAAACATGTAGGTTTATTTTAGTAGAGCTAATATATTGCAAAAGTGAGCCTCGCGGGGTACAGAAAATTGCAACAACAGAAATTTGCACAATTAGACACTTTATTTGATAAAGCAGAAAAGAGTGTACAGTGAAAACTGGGGCAATCTTCAGTGTGGGGATACTTAGTATAAATGTAACTGATTTTGTCTGTTAATTTATTGATAAATAAGCAACCTTTTTTATTGATGCATATATTTTATACATTTTATTTTTATACATTTCAATTTATTACATATATTTGCTCATTTAACATTCTGTAAGAGGTTTAATATAAGACACATTAAAGAAAAATGTCATAATATATGTTTTCTATAAATATTTAATGTGATGGTTATTAATGATTTTATTCATACAAATATACAAAAGCAGGAAAAGTAAAAACTTTGCAAAAAGGTTAAAGAAATATTTACATAATTTTTTTTAGGCATGAATGATCTTATTCATGAAAAATAAATTTATTTAAATAATTTTTTGTTAAATTTCTCAAAACTCAGATGTATGAATGTATATACATTTTTGGCAATTGTACAGAAATTGTTTTTATATGCATGTTTTTGAGAATTATATATATAGAGAGAGAACCAGAGAGATTTCTTTTCATGCTTCTTTTAGTTTGGATGGAATATTTACATGGCTTTGTTTTTTAAAACAATATTATTACCACCCTTAATAAATAATTTAAATATTTCATCAACAATTTATTTTAATAAATAAATTAAATATGCCATCTAGTGGAAATTATTTTTCCAACACCCACTTCAAATGTTATCAAATGTTATTTGGGCATTTTCAGTTGTTATCAGCTAATAGATATTGGACAGTAGGCGCCTTCTGTGCCAACTGGTAGACTCAGAAGGCTGTTATTATCCATCCACATGGTTAAACAACTAATAGTGAAGACTCCAGATCTAGATCTGTTTTTACATTACTGCAAGGATTGGGTTTAGAGTTAGGATTGGGGTAGACGTTAATAAAACTTAATTAATGGGAAATTTAATAAATAGTATAAATAATTCTCGTGGTTAATCAGCTTTACTAATAGAGAAGATTCCAGATCTGTTTTCACATTACTGTGATGGTTGGGTTCAGGGTTGGAGTAGAAATTATTAAAATACAATTAATGGGAAATTTTATAAATTATATAAATAATTCTCATTAACTACTGGCCGCAGCCGTATGTAATCTCTTGCTGATTACCCATATGGATCGATGATAACAGTCTTCTGAGCCTACTGGTAGGCACAGAAGGTCCCTTGTGGACCATATCTATCAGCTGAATAATAATGCCCATTCTATCGAGTGATAACATTCAAATTGGCTGGATTTCAACAGTGCAAATGTACATTTGAAGTCAGAATTAGTAGGCCTCCGGTTTATTTATTCTCCAATTTCTGTTTAACAGAAAGCAGATTTTTTTCAACACATTTCCAAACATAATAGTTTTAATAACTCATGTCTAATAACTGATTTATTTTATCTTTGCCATGATGACAGTTAATAATATTTTACTAGATATTTTTCAAGACACTTCTATACAGCTTAAAGTAACATTTAAAGGCTTAACTACATTATTAGGTAACTAGGCAGGTTAGGGTAATTAGGCAAGTTATTATATAATGATGGTTTGATCTGTAAACTATCGAAAAAAATATATAGCTTAAAGGGGCTAATAATTCTCTTTAAAATGGTGTTTAAAAATTTTAAAACTGCTTTTATTCTAGCCGGAATACAACAAGTAAGACTTTATCTAATAGAAAAAATGTTATCAGACATACTGTGAAAATTTTATTGCTCTGTTAAACATCATTTAAAAATTATTTAAAATAGAAAAAAAGATTCAAAGGGGGGCTAATAATTCTGACTTCAACTGTACGTAATAGATTAGTCAGTACCAAAGCTAAAACTGATAGTAAACAGGCAGAAAACTTTGTACATTCAAATGAATATGTTTGACAAAAATTTAAATATAACATTTTAATAAACAGGTAAAATTTAGATAAACATAAAAAATACAAAATTTAGTTGAAATCTTTTAGTTTGTCTTTTTTTTTTTGCTTAAACTTGTCTGAAACTAGATGACCAAACTCTTAATAAATGCACTCTTATTTTAATAACTTTTCAATAAAACTGTTTTGTTTAAATGCACCAATTATTATTATAATTATAATTAGCTATATTCAAAGTTAAGTTGATCAAATGTTAACTGTCAATAGAGGTGTACTCATTTATGCTGAGCACTATATACTATGTATTATTATGTTTTGAATGTGTACAAATATACAAAAGCAGGAACAGTAAAACTTTGTAAAAGGTTGCAGAAATATTTACATACTTGCAGAAACGTATTCATGAAAAAAACAATTTCTGTGTTAAATTGCTTGAAAAACATCCCTTATAAACTGTTGCATTCAGATCAATTGATGTATGAATGCATTTTCCTAGTAATTTACACATAAATGGCTGTTTGTGTTGTATGACTGAGGCCGGTGGAGCTGTAGTATAAATAACCCACTCTTGTATCACACATTTGACACTGGTGTCACCACAGGCCACGGAGCATCTGGAAGAAACCCTTTAGACTCCATGTTCTCCTGCTGACCAAACATTTCCACTGGGCTACAAAAATGTACATGATTGACCCTTTCAGCCTTACCATTCAACCCAGCCTGGCTCATACTGGCAGCCTGACAACCTCCAACCGGTTGACTGGGCCAGCTGAAGTTCTGTCCGCTCTTCTTGAGGGCAGCCAGATGTTTGATGTCTAGAGTAGTGAAGGTTGTGAACTGGACTTGATTTCTTTTGCTTGTTGGAGAATGCAGAGGCTCGCTGCGCACAGGCTTGGCCAACAGTGTGGCTGATCTGACCGCCATTGGAGGAAGCGGAGCCATCGGTTCGCGCCTTGGAGGAAGAGTGTTGGTTCTTCGTCCCAGAGTTGCAGTTCTCTCCTCACCTGCGATGGCTGGGATCTCTCTAGGTTGGATCATCTCAGGGTTTACGCTGGTCTGAATGGCTCGTGGCATTTCAACAGCTGCCTGCGTTCCTGGATTGGAAGCGGTTGCAATTGGCACAGCTCTGCTTTGCTCTGCAGCTGTGCTTAGACGAACCCAGTGATGCCTGTGTTCATGTTGACCCTGGCATTGAATGGGAGTCTTCCTATTGCGGGTGCGTGCACTGCTGGTGGCGCAGTGAAGCAAAACAGCAATCATAGCCAAGCAGGAGAGTCCTACCAGTGCATAGATGCAGACTTCGATGTCTGTGAACACACTAAACATCTGTATCAGGTTGCTTTCCACTAGGGGCGGTTCTCGCTTGGGTTCCTCTGGTGGAAACGGGAAGTTGGGCTTCTCCAGCAAGTTTCCATATGCGTTTTTTATTTGACTTTTAGGGCCTACAGTAACAAGTGCTCTGTCTGCAATGGGCTTGGTGATGAGAGTTTTATTCAAAAAGTTAATTGCCTTAATAGTGGATACACCACCTCCAATTGCTTCTTGAAGATTGGATTTAGTTGCCGATTTGATCCCACTTGTCGTACTTTCTTGCATAATGGTGTGTTGAAGAATGTTCAGAGGGGATGTGAGGGTCAATTTGGAGTCGCTGTCTTTATCCACATCATCTGTGACCCGAATGCTTTCTTTCTTGCCAGTCCCGGAGAGCTGTTCATCTGATGGGAATTTCACCTTCACCATTCCTCCACCCACTGCCAATTTGCTCTTGCGTTTGGATTTCTGACAGGCCTCACAGATGGCGAGCTCTGCTCTGAGTAATAAACCCTGTCCCTCGCCTTCAGCAACCACAGCAAAGACAGACCCTTGGATGGTCTGCACTGACACCACCTTTGGGTCCATTGAGGAGATGGAGAGGGAGTAGCCAATGGGATCATAAAGATCAAGAGGAGTCTGGGATCCATCGCTGAACTTGAGCCAGCATCCAACCACTGCCTCCTGTTGTGCAAAGGTATAAATATTTAATTGTTACAAAATTATATAAAGGTTTAGCAAACAAGCTGGTCTACATGGAAAAATGACAGCTAGCATTGCAATTTATCATAGGTCTTTAGTAGAACTTACTGCTAACTGCTAACCTACTACTTATTACATCGTAGTCTGGAATACTTGTGTCTGATTGCTCAGTCATGACATTCCAAGGTGTGTTTTTCCAAGATAACAACCACTGAAACTACACAGGCTTCAAAATTTCTACAAAAGACTTTGGCCTATGGTTATGTGTGCGTCGTTATGTGCAATTTTTATTATATACACACACACATATATATATATATATATATATACATAAGTTAGGGTGTCTCTCTGAGCCCTCTCCGCAGACAACACGCCAAATATGCATATTCTATTCAGTCAAATATTTGTAAGTGTGAACTCGTGAATTTCCATATGTATATATATATATATATATATATATATATATATATATATATATATATATATTGCACATAACGACGCACACATACCCATAGGCCAAAGTCTTTTGAAGAAATTTTAAAGAACACCACTCGGAGACCATCCTCCATGTTCATTTGTGGCCTGTGTTTACACACAAACTTTTTTTAAAATAAATAAATAAAAATCGAAACACTGATGGCTTTATATTTGAAGGCTTTTTTTGTTTGTTTATTTAACAATTAACTTTTGTTTTCTTCTGTAGGTTATGAATAAAATATTCAAATATGGTAATTCTAATAGTATAATAAAATTAATTATATTTTTAGAAATCACCAAGTGACCCCCCTAGGGGTCCCACCCCCCACTTATGGAACCAATGGATCAGTGCATGGTCCATTCAGCCATTTTTGTTTCTGTCAGCTTTGCCTTTAAATAAAGAATGAATAGGGTCCAACAAAATGTTTTGTGTCAAATTTTATGTTTTATGGCAAGTAGCCGCACAGAAAACATTATAATGTAGATCCAGGCGGTTGTTTTTTTGTTGAATAAAGCAATTTCTTCTTAAACAAGAAACAATTATGTTAGGGATAAAGTTCATTCTGAAGGGTGTTATTGCAAAATAAAGCCCGCAGCTTAGCAGAGGGCTGTTGTATAAGGCTTTATTCTTTCACTACAACCCTTTTGGAAGTACTTTATTTCAATTATTACACGATTATTTTTCACAAAACATAAAAAAGTAGACACAAATCATAGTTACTGTTCTGTAAGTGTATTATTTTTTTATTTAATGCAAAGCTGACAGAAATGAAACTGGCTGAGTGGAGTTGATAGAGTACAATAACCTGAGCGATATTCATTTACAAGATGGTGACAAACAGTTTAAATGGAAAAGTTGACAGAAACGAAACCATTCGAATAGAGCATATATTAACTGATGTATTGTTCTTAATTATAATTCATTCACCAGACGCTGGCAAACAATCAAATTGAGCAGCATGACAGACAAGGAGATATGAATGTGAATATAAGCATACTGATGTGAAAGTGTTCACTGATGATAAAAGGGAATCAAAGATTTCGGATGAGCCTGCATTGTTTAGCGTTTGCCATCTTGGAATAATTCTATCAGTATTGGATTACGGAAATTTATTTCATATGCACACACCTCTGATTTTTTTTTTTAAAAACTGGATATTGTTTATCAAATGGACCTCTTTACAGTTGTTACGTAACCTGCCATTTTTTTTTTTCACACAGTTAGGTCGAGCTCTCTAAGTTTGATCCGTATGTATGGAATGAGCTTTAAGATATACTACATATGAAATCCATACCATCTATTGCTATATTTAAAAGACTGTTAAAGACTGTCAATTTAGAACAGCACACATGTTTTAAACAATTGATTATGGTTTATACTATGTTGGGTTAGTCTAGGTGTTGTTACATGTATTTTTTTATTCTTTTGTAACAGTTCTATTTTTTGACCAGGACTACCTGGTAGAAGATATATTGTATCTCAATGGGACAATCCTGGTTAAATAAATAAATAAATAAATAAATAAATAAATAAATAAATATGTTGAATGTTTTGACTGACCAATCATAATCAAGTATTGCAGACAGCTGTGTAATAATCTGGAATAATAACCACCAGGATGTATTTTATACTTTATATACTGTAGCACACGATAAGCCTAAAAAAACATGTATGATGGTCTAATTGTATTAATGGATCAATATTTGTTTGTTTTTGTTTAAAACTCAATCCAACAGAGAGCACAGTGTATTTACAGCAACAAGCTGTGGCATGATAACCAAGAGATGCCGGATAATACTGTATGGTATAAGCAAACGCCACCACAGACTGTCCTATATTCTGGGGTGAAATACATTATGCATTGCCTGAGGAGCTCGGCTCGCAAAGCCCATCAAGAGACGAATGAGGCCTCCCGCTGAGTACAAATAGCCTGATATTGATTGGATCATGTTATGCCACTCAGACCTGGCATTGGAACTGGCAGTAATATAAAAGAATTTAGAGCATGGTTGTACTCAATACTCTTTCCTTACGCCTTAATGGCCAGTGCTTATCATAGATGGAGAATAAAAAGTAACAAACACTAAAGATACTCACAAACAACTTGATGGATAATGCTTTGCTACAGTGGCCAACAGGAGTGTCAACTGAATGTTTATTTAGCATATTTTATGGTAAAAAAAAAAAAGACAGACATACACTACCGGTTAAAAATTTTGAAATGTTTTAAAATAAGCTTCTATTATATTAGTTGTTATTAATAAGCATTTATTATTTAATCAAAAATAAAAGACAAATTGTAAAATTTTGAAATATTATTGTACTATAAAATAACTGTTTAAATGTAGTTTATAATTTAATTTAATAATTTATTCCAGCGACTTTAAAGATGAATTTTCAGCTTCATTACTCCAGTCTTCAGAGTCAGATGATCGTTTAGAAATCACTTTAATATTAACTATTATTTCCCAGTGTTGGGTTGCGAGCTGGAAGGGCATGCGCTGCGCGAAACATGTGGTGGATAAGTTGGTGGTTCATTAAGCTGTGGCGACCCCAGACTAATAAAAGGACTAAGCTGAAAAGAAAATGAATTAATGAATTAATTCATTATTATTAATAATATTAATAATGGTAATATTAATGCAAGCAATAATGACCAGAGTAACCATTAAATTTGAAACTATGTACAATAAAAAAGCAGTTATTTAAAAAATGTATAAATATTTAACTTTTTTTTTTTTACATTTAATAAATGCTGCCTTGATGAACAGAATAATAAAAAAAATGCAAAAAAACACGAGAAAAAAAACTGAGCCCAAACCTTTGACCGGTAGTGTATATACATGTCAAACTTACATTTTGATGTTTGCATCAAATGTAATTTATAAAACTGATACAATACATAGAAAGCATATTAATTGTATGTAAATTGTCTACTTGTTTTAAATAACTTACAAATCTAATGATGTTCAAAACATGATTGAAAGAAATCATCTTTCAGTGTAAAAGATACATGCAAGTAAATATGAAATAACATGCTTATCCTGCTCTGCACTTATACATATAATATAAGTGATCATACTGCAATCATTACTATTATTCATTCATTCATTTTGCTTCTGTTTAGTCTCCATTTCAGAGGTTGCAACAGTGGAATGAACCGCCAACTATTCCATAATAATTTTAACGCAGCGGATGCCCACCCAGACACATACACAATCATACACTACGGCCAATTTAGCTTTTTAAATTCACCTATAGTGCATGTTTTTGGACTGTTGGGGAAACCAGAGCACATTATTTGTTTTCACTGGATTTATTAGTTACGGGTTTGAGTATTTTTTTTTTTTTACATTTGTTTCATTGTATGGGGGTCTTGTAAAATTTCTAACAAATTTGAAATAAAAATATATAATTATAACAAATGTTTTATTAACTCTTATGTAGTAAATCATTGGTATTGTGCTTAAAATGTATTTAAAACAAATATAAATATGTGTGAATACGTGTGTTTTTTAATGCATAGAACAGCATAAAAATACAGCAGTCTTCAGTATTCACTAGTCTTTCAGAAGAAAACTAAATTAGTTTTACTCAAATCCATAGCTATAAATAAGCATTATATACTTGTCAAACACACACACCCACACACACATACTTGTCAACCACAATTAATGTCTTTGAATTATTATCTTTTCTCTCATCTTTTATTATGTGGAACTGAAATATTAATATACAATTCAATTAACAAGATTGACAGCTTATACAGCCACATGAATCACCTGCTTGGGGTAGTGTATTATCTCCTGTGTGGTCGTCTTGGCAACAATGGCCCTGTTGCTTCCTGTGCTGAGCTGAAGGTTCAAGGAAAGGCCAGAGACCAGCTGCACACCCAGCTCTGTAATACTGACTTTATCATCCAGAACCCGGATCACCCTCTCAGCCAGAATTGAGCTTGACAGCGGAGACATCACCTGAACCACAGAAACCAACAAAACCCAGCATGCCATCACTACTGCTTTATTTGTTTTCCAATTAAAAACAAACAAGACATTCATTTGAGAGCTGCCTACATTGCCTCTGATACTGAATAAACAGAATAAAAGTTGGTTTCAAGGCAAGACACCACAAGCAAAAACACTTTTCATGGAACTGTTTTTTGTCTAATGGAAAGGCATAAAAGACTTACAAATAATCATATTTTTAAATGTTTCTTTTGTCACACTTTGGGCCCTATCAAACAACTGGCAAAATAAGGTGCAAGACGTGTTTGGCGCGATTTGTTGCTATTTTCAGACTAGCGCAACCCTAATTTTTGTGTGTTAAGGCGCATTGTTGACGGGTTGCCATTTGATAATCTGAAATAGACCGAGCTATTGACCTACTAAAAGCTGCTCTAAAGTCCAACGCAGAGTACGTTATGTGCCTATGCAGATCCAAACACTTACACATTGCTTAATACACACAGGATGTACAACAATACACAAATATCTTTACATCTGAAAAAATTCAAGGAGTAAAAGGTTGCAAAAAATATTATTTTCTACATAAATATAAAAAAACACTGCCTCCATGCCTCATCTCGGTTCAGTTTATTCATGACAATTTAGATTTGTATAGTGCTATTATTATTATTAGCCATATTATTTATTATAAGAATTTTTATATTTGTTTTAATAAAACAAGTTTAGATTTGTCCACCTATCTGGTTTTGGAGATGTATGCATCACCATATGGGGCATAAAAATAGGACATGTGTTTGGATATAATTCTTTTATAAGTTTTTTACCACACTTTGTTATTATTGTTCATTTATTTGTTTGCTGAAAATTAAAACTGCAGAAATAGTTTTGAAACAAATCTTTGCACTTAAAAACGAAAATAAATATGTAGGCTATTGGGCGTCTTCAATGGAGTACAACAGTTTCCTTATCTACGATAGTAAAGGAGTAAAGAGTAAAAGCATAGACAGAGAAAAGACGGCAAATGGAGGAGGCTCATTCTTTATCCTCAAGCTGCAGATGGTCTGTTTCACTGTTTTCTCGCTAGTGAAGTGTTCGGTTTTTCCACTTATAAAGTCTGTCATGTAAATAGCAAATGTGCCATATCGTGACGCAACTGACTCTTAAAGGGAATGTGAGAGGAGACTCTGATTGGTTTAATGCACGTTATTCTCAAAACACACCCAAACTCATTAATGGAATAAGAATTAGACCATGTGCCAGGGCACAAAGCATATTTTTCTGTCCTTAAAATTATTAAAATTAAAAACGAAAAAGTGGTTTCAGACAAGATCTTGATGCTTTAGCGGCATGCTCTTTAGACTTTGCACCTAGATTGTTTAAAATAGAGCCCTTTATCAATTTGTGTCAGTATTTCAATTAAAGTACACCTTTTTAAAAATATTTGTTCCTAAATATTTTTTCTCCTACATTGAGCCATACATCTCATGTTCAGCAGCACTTGCAAAGACCAAATTTTAAAGTTTTATTCATAGCTTTATTCTTAACATTTTTAGGGATATAAATACTTTACCTTCTTAGCTTTTACTTAGTTAGCTAGCTGGGGCCTAAAATCATTGCTCTTGCTTCACCCATAGTATGGAAGCAACATTTGTTAATTAAAATGCCAGTATACTGACTAGCCACATTGGCTTCAAAAAAGCTACTTTAAATTTTCCACTTCTATCTTAGTACACAGAAGAATCAACCTTTAGGGTGCACTAACACTATGCTTTCAGAGACGTGCCCAGGCGTGTTTCCTGGTTTGTTTGACAAGTATGAGTGCTCCAAATCAGGCCCAGGCCCAGTTCAGTTGACCGGCCCTGGCCCGGTTGAAAGAGGTGAGCTAGAGCGCAGTTCTGTTGGGCTTTTCGTGGTACGCTTGTAGTGTAAGTGCAAAGAGCACCTTAGTCCGAAACTGAAAACACAATATCACGTTTAAGGTTTCACATGGGTTTATTAATTATTCTTACTGTTCAATGACCACAAACTCTCATAGTTTATTAAAGATGCAAACCCCTCACTGCACTTCAGTTGCACCTTCATCAAACCTCAAAATACGTGCAGCACGAGAACTTTTATGAATTTATGAGAGTCAAAAGTTGTGGATCTGTTATTAAATAAAAAATATTAAACTGTGTCTCACTGTGTTCCAAACGACTAAAAACGGGCCATCTGAGGAGAGGAAAGAGGTGACAATTGCGCTTCGGCACGGTTCAAGGTAACTGTACCTTGTGTAAGCCCTTAAACAGAAAATTTACCGAAAAAAAATTGAGAGAGAGAGAGAAGTAAGATGCTAATGGTCTAATCCAATTCCAAGATTTATGCTAAGCTAAGCTAAAAGTGTTCCAGTAGACCAATGGTACAGACAGAAAAAAATGGTAAAAACCTCATTTACAAAAAAAGTGTAATGTTTCTTTAAACAAGGTCTCATTTGCATATTTAAACAATATTTTAGAAAACTTATAATACCAAAAATGCTTCCAATTCTTAATGCAAGCAAACAACTGCGGGAATATGGTGAAAGTGTCAGTTAATTTTATTAACCTATTCACCTGCAGTGCCTTGCCTTAATGAATATTGAGAAATGTAAAGTGCTGACAGCTGCAGGCGAAGCTCTCATTATCACCATTACCTGCACAGTGGTGACTCCCACAGCCTTGCCTGTCAGTACGGTTCCTGCCTGGAGGCGTGCAATACTCGTATCCCCAACTCTCAGAAAGTAGCGCACCAGGCGCGTCACATCAACCTGCCAATCCGAGCCGAGAAAGTATGCAGGAGAAGGCCTGCTCGGATCTGGAGATTCTGCGGTGAAGACCGTCAGCACTCGAATCAAACTGTGCTGATACTGCAGCATACAGCCTCGACCCTTCCTCTCATCATCTTCCTCAGTGTCCCAGCTCACTCTGAGAAACAGATGGAGAAAAGATGAACAACTCTCTTTCTCGCTCTCCAGTTCTCAATATATTTTTCCTCTGCTATCTGCAATTTGACTAGGCTCAGCAATCTCTCATCTCCACCTTATAATGAAAGTCTCTGCGATGTCATAAAAAACTGCTGGATATCTCTGTGGAGCACATTCTCTATTCTAACAAGAACAGTTTGGAGCAGTTTTAAAGTGGAAAAAGTCCATACGGTGTGGAACATCAAGTATCGAAGTTCTGAACAAGTTTGAGGAACTAAAGGTGAAAAAAATTGGTGATATTCAGAAATCAAGAGTTACTCACAATATCTTATACACATTAAAAGAGTATCAACAGCCAAAAACAGAACAGACAACAGAATAAATGTTCAGAATAGTGCAACAAAATAAACCGCATTCATTTAAAAATGAACTAATTATTATGGGGAAATTAAAGCCATGAGTAGATAAATTCCTCACTGTTAAAATACATATGCATTTTTGAAAATACTTGAGTATTAAATATAAATAATATTTAGTGTTTTAATTACATTTACTTGATTTAAATTAGATTTAATCATGTATTTGTGTGAATAAGGGAGGACATGAGTAATAGGTATTTTATTATTAAACATAATTACTCTTTATTAGTTCAATTATTAATAACAATAATAATTAATAACAATTCATAAGTTCAGTTAATGATAATAATAATAATAATAATAATAATATTAATAATAATAACAAAAACAACAACAATGACCATAAAATGTATAATATTAATAATAACAATAATAAGGATAATAAAAAGTAATATTATTATTAACAACAACTATTATTATTATTATTATTATTATTATTATTATTATTAATATTATTATTATTATTATTATTATTATTATTATTATAACAATACAGTGCATCCGGAAAGTGTTCATAGCTTTTCACTTTTTCCACACGAGTTAAAGAGGTGATCAAAAACCCAATGGTCACTCTGTCTAAGCTCCAGGGTTCTTCTGTGGACTGAATGAAAACCTGCTTCAGAGTGACCTCAGACTGGAGCGATGGTGCATCTTCCAGGACAATGACCCAAAGCACTCCGTAATGGAGTGGCTTCACACCAGCTCGGTGAATGTCCTTGAGTAGCCCAGCCAAAGCCCAGACCTAAATCTTATCGAACCTCTTTGAGGAGATCTGAAAATGGCTGTACACCATCGCTTCCCATCCAACCTGATAGAGCTTGAGAGGTACTGCAAAGAGGAATGGGCAAAAATTCAAAAAGACAGGTGTGTCAAGCTTGTGACATCATATTTAAAAAGACTTGAGGCTGTAATTGCTGCCAAAGGTGCAACAACAAAGTATTTAGCAAAGGCTGTGAATACCTCTGCACATGTGATTTTGTAGGTTTTTTATTTTCAATAAATTTGCAACAATTTCAAAAAATCTTTTTTTCACATTGTCATTATGGGGTATTGTGAATTATGGGGTAGTATTTTGAGGAAATAAAGAAATTGAATTTATTTTGAAATAAAGCTGTAACAAAAAATGTGGAAAAAGTGAAGAGCTATGAATCTGAACGCATACTCAGTAGTACCAGCCAATCAGGAGTATTTCCTAATTCATGTTAGCTCATATATAGCATACCAGGGTCTGCATGATTATGAAATCTAACCCTCCACAGCACTGTAAAGATATTGTTGGGGGTGTACTTCCTTTAAAGCAGCTACTTTTCATTATTTGACTAAGCTGAACTAAACTTATTGTATTCTTACTCAATAGCAGCAGCAGTGTCACTTACTTTTTGCTGCCAGAGACAGGAACTCTCCAAGCTTTGATCTGGCTGAGCTCTGTATCGGACATCTCCATCTGCAGAGGAAGTCGAGGTGTCCACACATTCACCTCCAACTGAGCACTGAGGTAACTGTAGGTGAAGTTCACCATTGTCTTTACCCTGCCACGCGTCTCCTTTCCATTGACATACACAGAATCACACCTCTCTGACACCTGTGTGCAGAAACAGTGTTTAAGTTAATTCATGTTGAGCATGGTTTCTAAGGCCCCGTTTACACTAATGCGTTTTAGTTTGAAAACGCATAAGTTTTGCTACGGTTACGCCATCCGTCCACACTACGCCGGAGTTCTCGAGCGCCGAAAACGGAGCGTTTCGAAAACGCTGGAGAGGCCGTTTTCATTCTGAAACGCAGCTGCTCCGTCTCAGTGTGGATGATGGAAAACGGAGACATTTGAAAACGGAGGCGGGGCTGCAGACATTCGCCTCTCTGATTGGGGCTTTTCCTGAATATTAAGTAGCCTAACACGCACAGTTCAGTCCTGCATCTTCTCCGTGTAAGTTAAAACTTCGCAAGTTTGATCATGGCTGCAGTCTCTTCTTCTCAGTTTGATATGGAAAACAGACTATACCGAGGACACGGGTAAATCTTCAAAGGGAACAGTGTACTTTATAACTTCATTCACATCACCCTGGCTACGTTGTTTTACTTTCTCAACAATAAAATGTAAACATGATATAAGGAACTGCCTATTTTCATTTTAATATTAACAACTAAACAGACAGCAGAAATGTTGAGGCGCCGTGCTGCAAATATGAGCGTCATCTTCACTGTGTGCATATTTATAACAAAACGGAGCCGATAACAACTGCCTCCTTTCAATTTCAGTGAAAATACGAAACACACCCTCTCTTTGCTGAATATCAGTTTTAATCGATAATGGCCATTATAAAAGTATAACATACAATAAGTTTATACATTATAGGAAATAAAGGCAAGCGATCAGTCAATATACAGAATGTACGTGCTTACATTAATCATTAACTTATCTTTGCGCTTAGCCAAAACACGTTACCTGAGAACAAGTAATAGATTCCAATGTCCAATGAATAGGTCGTTAAATAAAGACAACAAGATGAAAGAAATATTCCGTTTAATAAATATAGTGAGGTTAGATCCAGCGGGAGATGCTTGATGAGAAGTCCGACTAGCACAGCTCTCATCTGGGTAGATTGGCTACAGCGCTTGCCTGAGAGTGTGTGTGTGGTCACGTGATGTGCGTTTTCAGCGTTTTGGTGTGGACGGAGAGCAGTTCAGAAACGCTGGGTGAAACGCGAGTGTGGACGCGGATCGTTTTCATTCTAAAACGCCGTTTTAAAACTAAAACGCACTAGTGTAAACGGGGCCTAAAACATGACAGATCCATCGTGATGTAGTAGTTGAGGCAGGGAAAACTTTATTTTAGGCAAGGGAATTTTTTTTATACAGACAACATGTGGCTACTGAGAATGCGTGAGTGAATGAACAGGACCACACGCAGTGCTGCAGCACTGTGCGTCACAGCCCAACATGATCTAACACAAGAAATACATGACCAGCAGGAGGCAGTTAAGTAACAGTGAACATACTGAACTGATATACCGTAGCAGCTCACAGACGGAGAAGTAATGGAAATTAAATTGGCTAATCATGATTGTCTCAGGTGACGCAGTGGCGCAGTAGGTAGTGCTGTTGCCTCACAGCAAGAAGGTCGCTTGCTCGCTGGTTCGAACCTCAGCTCAGTTGGCTTTCTGTGTAGAGTTTGCATGTTCTTCCTGCATTTCAAGGTCTGTAATTGGTCGGCTTGGTAGAACTGACAGGTCTGGGCGGGACCGAGAGCCGCATCAGCCCGATGGAGCGATTGTTTACAAGTGTGGAGTCCAGTAAAGGAGCTCCGGATGGAAAATTTTGTTTTGTGTTTACCTGATGGTTAAAGTTGTTGCACGTCCGCCGGTTCCTGCCTCAAAATGAGCGAGTTTGAGCCACTTGTACATTGAGGAAGTGTTAATAAAAAACAAAACAATAGCGAAGAAACTCGACACAGAGGAACATTAACATCTCACTGCCAACTAGCATTTCAAAAGTGTTGTTACAGAACAACAGAAACAGAGCGCCGAAGTAAATGCACAGCTCAGCTCATCAGGACCAATAGTATTACCCCAGAAATGACCCCTAGTATCAGAAGCTCAAAATTGACCATATTTTGAAAGATCATGAATATTAATGAACTCTGATCTGAGCTCCAGAAATCATCAGTGCCTGCTCACACACGCATACAAACACAGAGGCACGCAAAAAAACTGTAACAATTTTTTTTAAAAAACTCTAAATATCCAAGGATATTTTATTGATGAAAAACTATAATTTCAGATTGTAAAATAATAAATATAAATATGCAACAAGGCTATATGGTTCATGCATATGCAAGCATTAGTGTGGTACATGATGACAGGCCCTGTGTACATTGTTCAGTCTCATTAGAAAAACCTATGGGCACTGTTGCATCACTGTTTCATTCAACCTCAGTACTTTGAAGACTAATTATATAAACCCCAGGGCACATGCTCTGAACTCTGCACTATAAACAGAGAAATTTCTACACTTCTCCTGGGCATTAAAGGCACATTCATGAGTTCATGGTGCAGTTAAGCTGTTCATGTGTGAAAAGACACATTAGGTTGCATAGGTTTGTGTGCGTGGTTGTAGTCACTCTGTCAAGTAAATGAGTTCTTCCCTCCATTTATGTTTAAGTCTTAAATGTGAAAAGACAAGCTCAGGAGAGTTCTGGAGAAACACCTTTATATCTTAAGATATTCACAGTGAAGGCGCCAGTGTTTAAGGTGAATGACCCCAGAGAACGTTCCAACAATAATAAAAAAATTTCAAAGTCTTTCTAATAAGAATGCAGAAAAAAAGACTGTTATTGAGGGCACAGATGGGGAAAACTGAGCTCTAGAGTTGATGCTAAAATTCAAATGATCAAATTATAAAACTGCATATTTAGGATAGAAAAATAATAGGCTTATCAACATAAAAAAGGCTAAATGGTTTCTATACTTTTTGTTATTAATGGAAAAGGACCATTCAACCTCAGCCATACAAAGTCAAAAAGAATACATTAAATATGGCTTCTCTTGCAAAAATGGATGAACATGTTTTTGTGCTATGAAGTATTGCCTCCTGAGAGCATGAAACCATCAAAAAACATTACATTCTGTTCACCTTATGCCATGCTGCTAAATTTGTGGTGATTTTGTAATTTTGTTAATAAATTAACAATAAAAATGATAAGAAATATTTGCTTTAGTACAATGTTGTCACTTTGTTCCATATAAGATCTTGTTCCTGAGACAAATCCAGTTGAGAAGCACTGCCCCAGAGAATAATCCGGCAATAACAGAGGGTTCAAGCTCTTTATAACGCGCAGAGGGGAAAAAAAGACAGGTGTTTGAAGCACAGATGTGCTTTGGGCAAAAAACACTAGTTCAGTGAGGGCTTGCAGGTCTTTTTCCCTCTTGGGTTTTTTTCTTTTTTTTTACTTGAGGAACTAAGTGGTGGTCTAAGTCATCTCCTGTGACCCCTCTCTTCTGTCCTCTTCCAGTTCTAATCGACATGTCATTCAGAAGCAGACTAAGGCTGCTAATAGGAAGCACACACACTGAGTGTGAGATTGCTGAAGCTGTCAAAAGTGGCCTGACCCTGACATGCATTACCTTCAGGACATCCTGGTCTGAAGACCTGCAGCGAGAAGAGTTAGTGATGTCTGTGATGGAGCCATCAGCCTCAACTCCCAAAACCTTCACAGGGACAGAAACCTTCTTACCCGTCAGCATGGCCGTGTTGAGGAGCTCCGTATCCTGGAAAAGCACAACAAATAAAACTGGATTAACACAAAATTGTGCGAAATTCAAAACTGAAATGCCCACTTAAAAGATAAAAATTTGGTTTTGTAGTATGCTGGTAAACTGCGGGAAATTGCTATATATGCTGCAAAACTGCTGGAAATGGTCTGACTTTATTGGCAGGTGCCCTGATTTAAAGCTGCTTGATTTACTTTTCCATGAGTATTGGCTCTTTCAGTGCTGACATGTCACAATTACGTCACTGTGTTAGCTGCAGGCAAAACAACTGGGGAAATTGGAGGAAGCCAATACAATCCACCAGCACAGAGATACAATAACTATAGGCTTTAATTTGAAAATTAATAGTGCAAAAAAAAAAAAGTTATTGCATTTCTGCTGACAGACAAAATCGAACAAACATACAAAAAATAATAATAAACAACAACAGTTGTGGTTTAAGGAAAATAATACGAGGCCTGGACAGAAACAATTATTAAAAATGTACACTTCATATCAGGTCATAGTTAAAGTTTTGAACAAATTGAAGTTGTTGTATGAAATCAGATTACTGTTTAGTGTGAATGGTGCGGTTAAGAATGATCATCTGCAGTAATATGTATGGAGCTAATTTGTTTTTAAATCATGTTGTTGTCTAAACTAAACTAAACTATTATGGACTATAGTATTGCTACATTAGGTTTCACATGCATGCCCGCCAAATTAGAACTTAGAAAACAAGTTAGCAAGCTAACTTAAGTTAGCCAAGATTATTAGTCGTACAGATAGCAACTAACAACAATAATTAGAGAAGAACACTTGCTAGTCTCTGTGCAGTACATCAGTTGGTCAGAGGAACTGGTTCTGCTGCTGCCTAAATTAAAATGTGTCTATATTGAATTCCTTAGTATGATTAATTTATGTAATATAATAAATATACACGAATCAATTTTGTCTCTGTTTTTGTTTTAACTTTAAAAAGGAAAAAGGATTCAAAAACTAAAAAGTAAACTTATATCAGTACCTTAAAGGTAGTGGACTTTACTGACAGTTTTGGTGCATATATAAATTAAAGCATAAAGTTGAAGGCAAACTATTTTTTTAAGGTCAATATTATTTACATATTTTATTTCGATTGGCTTCAAAACAAACCACTGTTGTCCGATGACCTAATTAAGCCTAAACCTACTTGTAAATTGCTAAATAAAGTACAGTAATGAGCTTTTAAATTGCACTTTAAAGTGGATCCTAGTATCTTGCAAAATAACTAAAATTATTACTAGGTAACATGTCAAAAATGTAGTTAATAGAAATGACATAATAAAACAATTATGTTTAAAAATGTGTTCTCTACATTAATCAGAACCTAAAATATATTTTTCATTCAAAAAAAGAGACTTAATAATTTTGCCTTCAAAAGCAAAAATATATACATATATATACAAAATGAAGTTTTACAAAGCAAGGAAATTTTCCCTGCATGTCTGATAATATTTTTTTCTTCTGGAGAAAGTCTTATTTGTTTTATTTCAGCAAGAATAAAAACAGTTTTTAATTTTTTAAAACCCATTTTAAGGTCACAATTACTAGCCCCATAATTGTTTTTAATTGTCTACATAACAAGCCATCTTTAAACAATAACTTGCCTAATTACCTTAACCTGCCTAATTAACCTAGTTAAGCCTTTGAAAGTCACTTTAAGCTGTATAGAAATGTCTTGAAAAATATCTAGTCAAACATTATGTGCTGTCATCATGGCAAAGATAAAATAAATCAGTTATTAGAAATGGGTTACTAAAACTATTATGTTTAGAAATGTGTTGAAACAATCTTCTCTCCGTTAAACAGAACTTGAGGGAAAAAATAAACAAGAGGGCTAATAATTCAGGGGGTTTAATAACTATGACTTTAACTGTACTTCACAGTAATACACCTTACATTATCCTATCCCGAATTACAACTAATATGTGTGCAACATGACACCCTGCAATCATAGGCTAAACCTAAGAACAAGCACTCTCGTCATCTAATAAGCTCTTATGAAGTCTCTTCTTTTGGTGCAGAATAAAAGCTTAAACGGGTCAAACATGTCAAAGCAACAATCGTGGACCAGACACGCTCCATCTGAGTTTAATACCCTAATGATTATCTTACACTGTGCCCCTGTGATGACGAACACACTAGGATGATTAGGTTTGAGCCTAGATTTAACTTTCAGACCCAACAGATGTCCACAGGCACCCTCCAAACGCAGCACAACAGATGCTGACAGTGATTTGAAAGTTACCGGTAAAATCCCACACTCTTATGCTGGTATTATTTCAGAGACAGGGTCACTTTGTGAAATAGACCACTCCATTAAACAAATCTGCAGCGAGCTGTAGAATGGACACTTTGTATCAATGAATAGTCACAATCACTTTTGGTTTTATTTTTTTGTCTCGAACATTTACATGAGAAAGAGCTAGTTTATTATATTTTAATGGCTCCTGCTGAACTTGTAATAAAAGAATCCATGTGGGAGTCTTCATAAAACAAATGTCTGTTCTGTTAGGGTAAACTGTACAGTAATTTGACCAATAGCAGGAGTGATGATAGGAAGAGATCAAAGGGTGAAATAAGTGGCACTGCGCCTCTAGACAATTAAAACACACACACACACACACACACACACACACACACACCCACACACCCACACACACACACACACACACACACACACACACACACACACACACACACACACACACACACACACACACACACACACACACACAGACTGAACAAAGACACATGAATCATTTATAAGCACTGCCACTGAAGCTCTATGGTCAAAGCATATTATATAAAGCGTGACAAACACTTGTCATACCAATGCAATTTCATTTTGAAATGGCCATGTTTCACAGACAGCCTTGCAAAATGTGACCAAACAAAACTTTACAAAAAGTTAAAGGGATAGTTCACTTCCCCACTCCCCTAAAAATGATGCATTGTTCTACTCAGAAGCGTCTTTCACATATATTCAGAATGAGCATGTGTAATTAAAATGAAACGTTCACATATCTTTTGCGAGTTTATTATTTGAGATGTAGAACTCACAGAAAAGGTTGCATTAAGAGACACTGCAGCGCTGCTGAAAACTGTGAGTGTTTACCAGTGGTTAACTGATGAATATGAATTTGTAGCTAAATTGTTAATGGTGCCAAACAGCATTTCCCGTTGTTTACATCCTTGTGGATCTTTGCTACAACATACCGTTAACGCTAGACACTATGCATGCAATAGAAATTTTTAACAAATAGTGTCTAGTGTTAACGGTATGTTGACCATAACTTTCACAAATTCTTCTTTCATTTGAGGAGTTTTTAGCCGAATCAAGCACTGAACTAGGAAATATTCTGGAAGCTCTCCTTTGTCAAATGCTAGCTATATATATTATAATTCTCTGGAACATAATTAAAATTCAATTGTAAGCACTTCTCTCTTTGTGTCATGTTCTTTGGAAGCCCACATACAGAAACAGAAGAAGCTCTTTGGAAACAGCAGCATTAAGACAACATTTTAGCTTTCTCTGCTATAACATTACAGCGCCTCTGGCCACTCTCCTTCTCTGCGTAGGGTGTATGCATGTAACCTGAAATGTTGTGATCTCACTAACTCGGATGTATTTTTATTGAACTTTGTTTGCTGTAGGCTTTGCTAAGCCAACTATGTAAAAGTCCCACTTTGCATTGAACTTGTCTTTGCATTGATGTTGTTTATGTTCACACATATGCTACATTACACATCAACTAAATATGATACATGATATTGTAGTGGACCACCCATTAAAATAAAAGTTAAGTATTTACTGTTGCAAATAACTTGCAAGTTATTATTCAAATACAGATTATACAGATACAGATTATACAGATTTCCCATCTCCATTCAGAATAATGCAAAACTGACACAGCATACTTATTAGGCCCTGACCATACTGTATTAAAATATATAATAATAATAATAATAATAATAATAATAATAATAATAATAATAATAATAATAATAATAATAATAATAAGTGATTTTAATTGGGGTATTATTTTTTTTTTTTAAATTATTTAAATATAGATATTTTTAAATTGGGGAATTGTGAAACAAAGAAAATATAAGTAGTTTCAAGAATATAGCAAAATAAAAATTCAAAAATAATCAACTATTAGTGTTTGGGGCTATTTATTGTAAATATATAACTAGTTTTACACTAAATGACATTTTAGTCATGGCCAAAAAAAATAAACAAGACACATTAAGGAAAAAAAACTACTAAAGAGAGAGAATAAAATGTAATGTAAAAAGAGGAAATTTACTAGCACTATGAACTCGTATGAAGATTTCCATGCAAAAACTTTCCTACTTTTTTCACAAACCAACAAACAATTTGAACATTGAAAGAACATGAGGGTCAGCAACTGATAACAGAACTGTATTTTTGTGAGAACAATCAATTTAAAAAGATCACTTCCATATGATAACACAAAATAGAAAAACAAACAAACATTCCCAACCGTGATCAGGGGTGCTATTCCCACATAGTCTCTCTGAATGGTGTAAATCCTCATGGTCCCTTCATCCCGGATCATGTTTCCAGGCAGCTCCAGCCTCCACGTGATCATCTGGCTCTCTAACTGATCGCTCTGCTCCTCAGTCTCAAAGTCCAGCTGCAAAACCTCCAGCAGACCTCTGTGAATAAAACATCAGGACACAGTCACATCCCAACCTCCGCAACAAGTGCCTGTAATACGTTTTCTAGGTCAACAGAGGCGTATCGAGTTAAAAGGGACCGTGTGGAATCTTAATGAAAGCACAATCAGCCACCAGGAAAGATGAAGCTCTTCATCCACTTCAGTAGCATTAAAACACTCAGCATTATAATGAGTGTATCAGTGGGTTCAATGCTAGAACATGATTCAGCGCAACGCATCTTTCAGGTGGAATTTGCTTTGATAAAAGAGCTTTTATATAACTAACAGAAAGGCACAAAACTTATTGCAGTTCATGCATTTCTATAGCACTCGTGTGAAAAGGATGCTTTGAAAGCATTTGAAAAACAAGTCCGTTTTATAGGGGGGGAAAAGAAGCTTTCCAAAAGAGGACAAATCCTTAAATACTTGATTCAAAACTCCTTAAATATTTGCACGATATTATCTTGCCGCAAATGATACAACCTCACAGTGTTTTTGTCAGTTGTTGAGGCATTGGGAGTGAAATGTCAAGTGCAAGAGTCAAGTCCCACTACTATTTTGTATTAAGTGCTTGAATTGTCTGCGTTCAGCTCTCCACTGGTTAACTTGAAGATCTCTGCTATAATCTTGCAGAACGTGCTGCTTTTTAAGTTGGTCTAACACACTGATGCACTGAGGATGATTAAAGATAAGTGGGTCGCCGCTGGGAAACATAGACATTTTACATCTATAAAAATTCAGTCAGACAACATAATCACTATCTTAAAGTAAAATGTTCACCAAAAAATACAAATGTACACACCGATTACTCACGCTTAAATAGTTAAACCTTAAGTAGTAAACCTTTATAAGTTGAACACAAACTTGGATATTTTGAAGAATGTTAAAAACTGGTAACCATTGACATCCATTTAATAAAAAACAAATATCATGGAGGTCAATGGCAACCAGTGTGCAATATTTTTTAAATACATTAATATTTGAAATGATGATAGAATTGTCATTATTTTTGAGTAAACTATCCCTTTAATATGGCACTGTTAACAATTTAAATAGCTTTTGCTTCTGTGCTGGTTTCCAATTAAAAAAAAGTAGAGGCAGAACATCAAATGGTTTGGCAACTTAATTCTACATCTAAACCAAAATGTATACTTGATAATGCCAAATAATATTTTCATAATTTCCCAAGTAGTTACAAACCGTTATAAGTTGAACAAAAAAAGAGATATTTTGAAGAATGTTAAAAACTGATACCCACTGACATCCATAGAATAAAAAACAAATACCATGGAACTCAATGGCTACCCAATATTTGAAATGTATTGTTATTTGAAATAATGAAAGAATTGTCATTTTTTTGAGTGAACTATCCCTTTAATATGGCACAGTTGACAACTGAAATAGCATCGGAGTTTTTGCTTCTATACTGGTTTCCAATTGAACAAAATATTTGAGGCAGGAAATATCAAATGGTTTGGCAACTTGATTCTACATGGAAGCCAAAAATAATACTTGATAATGCCAAAAAATATTTTTTACAATTTCATAAAGACACAATAAATTAATCAAAAGTGATGGTAAAAACTTTTATAATGCTATAAAAAGATTTCAAATAAATGCTTACAAATCTTTATCCAAGAATCATAGGATCATCTATTGATTATTTAGTTGTGAATTGCATATGTTGCTTTTTTTTGTTATCCCATAGGCCTCCATGGTAATGTGGTCCATTTTCTCATTGGCTTCTGTTCGCTGAGGGTTATAAAAACAGAACTTCTGGCAGAGTTTGATGAGCTCATTTTTAGTGTGACTGTTGCGGGGAGAAGAGAGCTCCTGGATTTCACTCCCCTCTGGCCGACAACCGAGCTTTATAATTGTTTAAATGTCCTTGTATGCTTGCAACTTTTTGAGAGTTTGAGCTTGTAGGGGTGGCCTGTCTATTTACCTGTATTTTAATTACTTTTGACTTGTTCAGGAAAGGAGGTAAGCTTCCTGTATTGTTCTTTAAAGAATTACAGGTTATTTAGTTTATTTACTTTGTAGATTCTTTTTTGTTGTTATTTTGGCCAGTGGCCACTCTGGAGAGATGCTCATTTAAATTGCTATTTTTTATCTATGATAAATCAATTGAGTGTTGATAGTATATACAAAGAAAGAGTACTTAATAAGGCTATCATGATTGTCAATAATGAGACATCCTTTATCAAACACCTTCCAATTGTTACCCCCAGGTCATCGATATTCAGTTCTCAGATGTGTAAGAAATAGAAAAAAATAATCACTTGTACTCCAAAAAATTATGTTTTTTAAATTCCACCTCCCTCAGTATAGCAGTTGATGGCTAGTAGACTGGATATTTATTTAGAGTAGTGGTACCATGTTTTTATATATATATATTATACCCATAGTTGTTTTCCCCTAGACTTGGAGCATAATTATAATAATAAAAAAATATTTTAAGCAACAAATATGCATATTAAATTTTATTAAATTTAAGCCAAAAAGCTTCAATAAATAAACAATAAATAAAATATTTTAAGAGCTAAAAATATAGTTTGATTGAATCTGTGGTAACTGACCATCAATACAGAGATCTACAAGAGTGACAGAAGTATATGCAAGTTAAGCTATGTATAGTACTATAGTGTAGACTGTATTTATGCAACTATAGAATAGTTCATGCAATGCATGCTATAAGCTACAATAATAATGACACCTCATACCCATGAAGAGCAAACTGAACAGAAATACGACACCCAGGTGGAGGCTCTTATTAACAAGTTGATGGCGGCTTTTGAGATGAACTTGAATTGGATCCAAAAGTACTAAAAAAATCTTCATATGAAAACCGAGCCAATCGCTTCTTTGCTGAGATGCACAAAGGTAATATGAACTCAGAGCTCATTCTTCTTAATAATGGCAGAGGAGTTGTATGTTTTTTGTGGTTAGCAGCAGCTGAGGTGATGGAAAGATATCATATTTTTATGAAGTTATTTTCAGTGGCTTTTCACATGAACACTTAGCATTATAGAATTGATTCGTGACATTAATCATGAAATCCTAAAACGGCAAGCTCTTTTCTCTAAAGTCTGTGCTTAATAAGTGTCTGTAGAGGGGTAAACGCGGTTAACCTGCAGCTTTTTAAACAGAAAAATCTGGTCTTTAATTTTCATTCAAAAAAACGTCCTGTGAAAGGTGAGCAGGTTGTTTGAACATCTGTTAGTTCCTGAACAATGAGGGGGGAAAGAAATTAGAAGGTTGCTTTTTTTCATAAAAAAAAATAAATTTTGCAATCTGTCATTTCATTTCTCTCCGTTTCAGTGGAAACAGACCACATCTGGTGATGCACAAGGGCAGAAAAAGCTTTTTAGCAATGAAAGGCCTTTAAATATATTAGTTAGAGAGGGAGAGTTTGTGGTTCAGTGGTTTTTAAAAACCATGAAAATGATGCAGTGAGGGCTTGCCTTTTGCTAGCAAATGTGCTTTTCTTCTGGCAGGTCACAGAGATGGTTTGGGCGTCACTTCCTCTGCCAGGTTCCAGAGTGATGTCCCACTGGTGTGCATCGCTGGGTCTGGCTGTGCTGAAGGACATGCCTTTTTTGGATGTGGCTCTTTGAGACAGAACACACAAACAAACAGATGACATCAGTGGAAAGGTCTCAGCATCAGGTGGACACACACAGTCTGCTTGCTGAGCGCCTCAAGCATATTACACATAAAAATGACAAGAGCTTTCAAGAGGCAAAAGCAGATAACAAATTCATGTTTGCTCAAGATGCTCAACAAGGCTTCAATCATTTGTAAAACACTTTATGCAAATATATTACTATTTCACAATATTAGATGAATTTTATTTCAATATATTGGAAATAGTTGTGTTTCCATTCAATGAATATTTAAATGCAATTTCTAACAATTATTCATTTATTCAATAATTTTCAGCTTAGTCCCTTTATTAATTAGGGGTCACCACAGTGGAATGAACCGCCAACTTATCCAGCATATGTTTTACGCAGTTGATGCCCTTCCAACTGCAATTCATCACTGGAAAACACCCAAACACTCATTTAAACACATAGACTACAGACAATTTAGCTTACCCTATCACCTGCACCTCATGTTTTTTGGACTGAAGGGAAAACAGGAGCACCCAGAGGAAAGCCACGCGAACACGGGGAGAACATCCAAACTCCACACAGAAATGCCAACTGACCCAGCAACCTTCTTGCTGTAAGGCGACAGCGCTACCCACTGCACCATCGCAGCACCCTACTGAGATCATTCTGTGAGTTCAAAACATACTAAGTTTAATGAAGCTTAGGCTGCATGGTGTTTCAGTGGTTAGGACTGCCGCCCACAGCAAGAAGGCCACTGGTTTGAGTCCTGGCTGGGCCAGTTGGCATTTCTGTGTTCTCCCTGTGTTCGTTTGGGTTTTCTCCGGGTGATCCGGTTTCCCCCACAGTCCAAAGACATGTGCTTTAGGTAATTTGGGTGTTTCCCAGTAATGGGTTTTAGCTGGACCCCTGATAAATAAAAGACTAAGCTGAAGGAAAATGAACGAAAGATGAAAATTAAAACTGTGAATCTTAACAAACTATTCTAATTGGTATCAATATTTTAAGGTCATGTAAAATTTATTTCGAGAGATTTGGGGATTTTAATAAGCTCTGTGTAAATTAAACAATTTTCAATGAGGGTCACTTACAGTTTATACAGTTTATATGAACTGACACCATCTGCCATTTCTTCTATTTTAGAATTGTTGCTTTTCATACATACTGAATTAACCTTCACTGTTTTTTGACCTGAATAAGCTGGACTGGAATTCATTCTAATCTACACATGAGAGTTGACAGTATCGCACACCAGACACACACTTTTGTATGTTAAATTTAAATGAAACTTTTCAGATGGCGCTCTGTGGCACGTAAGAAATATGAACAGTGTCTTGAGTAGTGACTGGGTGCCAACTTGCGGCGTCGTACCCTGATAGAAACCCATGTTTAGAATACTAAAATTTATGCAGCTGATGCCCTTCAAGTTGCAACTCAGTACTGGGAACCATCAATACACACTCATTTATACACATGCACTACGGCCAATTTAGCTTATTCAGTTAACCTATAGCGCATGTCTTTGGGGTGTGTGGGAAATCGGAACATCCAGAGAAAACTCATACAAACACAGGGAAAACATGTAAACTCCATACTGAAATGCCAACTGTCCCAGCGAACCAGTGACCTTCTTGCTGTGAAGCAACAGTGCTAACCACTGAGCCACCACGCCAACACTCTAATCAAAATGTTTATATTAATTAAAGTAGACTAAACACAAGTTACTAAAGATGTAAATAATTAAGCAATAAGCTCTGTTTTTGCCAATACCACAAAAAAAATAAACATTTACACGTGGTAAACAGGCATCATGGTGGAGCAGTGGGTAGCACAATCGCCTTACAGCAAGAAGGTCGCTGGTTCGAGCCCCGGCTAAGTCAGTTGGCATTTTCTGTGTGGAGTTTGCATGTTCTCCCCATGTTCTTGTGGGTTTTCACGAGTGCTCAGGTTTTCCCCACAGTCTAAAGACATGCGCTATAGGTGAATTGAATAAACTAAATTGTCCGTAGTGTATGTGTGTGAATGTAAGAGTGTATTGGGTTGAAGCTGGAAGAAACACATATGCTGAATAAGTTGGTGGTTCATTCGCTGTGGTGACCCCTTATTAATAAAGGGTAAAAGCCGAAAAGAAAATGAATGAATGAATGCAGTAAACATCTATTCCTGATACAATGAACATGTCCAGCACTAACTGTTTACTACAGGGCATGTGTGTTAAAGTTGACAACCTGCGCATTTAAAGGTTGAGGTGGAAAACATCCATCTCTCCTCAGACAGACAGAAAATCAACAAACACATCTCAAGTCCGTCTCTGCTGACATTCCTTCCCATTCAGCCTGACTCATAGCCAGATTTATATAAAAACCAACATGTGCAAACTCATTAATGGCTGTAGAAGAAGCTTTAATTGACATCTAAATCCTGTTCGTACGACCTACTAACCACCGCAGGTTGAGGTCAGACGGCATGGCTCTCATTTCCCTGTTTCACTTGCCAGCTTTCAAATCTTGGCTCAATCTCTGTTGCAGAAAGAGCGATTGGACGTGTAACAATGTTGTATTTATCAAGTGTATACAGCGAGTATGCCGCTCTGGAGAATTTAATCTCCTAGTCTCCTTTTGGCTAGGGCCAAAGCAACCACATGTTCACCGTTCAGTTTAAAGACAGCGCCAACTGCTGCTTTTCTGTATCTATCAGCTTTATCCACCGCGTTACCTCCTCTCCACTGATTGGGACTCAGAAAGCATGGAATCATGCCATGTGTGAATTCTCCCAGACATGTGCAGAATCAGGCGTCTTGGGAAGCGTGTCCGGAGAGGAAACAGGTCATGGTGGAGGAAGCGGAATGAGCACGGCTGACAGCGTCGTGACACACCACATTATCTTTCTTCAAGCACTCATCCATCTCATTCTCTCGGCGTTTCACACTTCAGCTCTGCCTCAAAAACAACAGATTGTCATGCAGCGGATCGCAAATGATTCATTAGCGACGTGCACAATGAGCCTGTGCATTAAAGCACACATGCAGCCGTGCATTTAAATGATTATTTCCCAGAATGCATAATGCCTGAACACACGTGATGGATGGATTTATCTGCCGTTGAGCAGGAATACATGATATTGCCGCTGATAGCATTTCACATCACATGTGGATCTCTGGAATAGAGCTCGTCTATCAGAGGCTGGGACTCAAGGGAGAGGGATCAGAGTCTGTCTTCTTGACCCATTTTGTATCGTCATCATCTTCAGAGCAGACGGGCAATTTTTTTACAGACAGAATGACGCCCTCGGTTGGATTATCCAAACATTTTTAATTCCAGGGAAATGAAGAGAAACAAAGCTTTGGAGGAAAATAAGAGTCAGTGGGGGAAAAAAGAAATTGCAATACAAAGAGAAAGCAAGAGAGAGAGAGAAAGCGTCTGTGAGTGTGCGTTCTGTTTGGGTCTGCCAGGGGAAGAAACACTGTATGCATGAGTGGCAAAAGAATTCAGTCAAATCTATAATGAGGATCTTGATGGAATAAATCTCTGACACAAAATCAAAGACAGACGAGTATTGATGTGGGGCTGCACGGTGCTGACTGCAGGATATACGGAGTAAAATAGAATAGAAATATTTTTAAATATGAAATAAAATGCTCGGAATATCTAAATTTCTTGCATCTATTCAAAAATTGCGTCTATTCAAACTATGTTTTGCCATCTGTTAAAAAATTTCTGTCCACATAAATGTACTTTAATGATCTGATAATTAGAATCTATCAGATAGGGTATATGCACAGCTAGTTTTTCTTCTCACAACAATAAACTTCCGGTGAAAGGTTCCTTCTACAGCATTGATGTTGTAATGTAATTAAAATACAATCAGTTAAATAGACATAAGCATTTATTCTGTTGTTTAAGCGTAAAACGAGATAAAAATCTGTTTACATATACAATTTCGTCATGGTCAGCAGGTGAGCGCAGAAACACCATTAAAAATACTGGGGTAAAATAAATGTTAAAATAAATAATTTTTTAAAGACATGGCGTGTGAAAATTTAATTTAATGCAGTGCTTAGTGTACAATCCAAGGCTCACTTTCTATCGTATATCAATCAGGCAGTGCAGATTGTTGATTTTTAACGAAAACAGACCTTAAATGCTGTAGTTTTTTAAAAACAAATTCAGTTCACCGAAAGCGCTTGACTCAGGTTCCTGCAAAATTAAAAGTCCTTCTGCATAGTTCTGCATATACCCTATTAAATGTAAAAATAAAAAAACATGAAAAAGATAATAATAATAATGATTATCATCATCATAATTGTATTATTATACTAATATTATATATATATATATATATATATATATATATATATATATATATATATATATATATATATATAATTTTTATTTTATATATATATATATATATATATATATATATATATATATATATATATATATATATATATATAATTTGTCATCATGTTCACCAGTTTGTCTATTCAAAAATGAAAAAAATAAATAAATAAACACAACTAAATATTCCTCACTAAAGATCTACATGAATAATTTGTGAGGCAGAACAGAAATCATTAAGTAAAACAATTGTATTTTTTTTACTGATTACATGTTTAATAATAATATAATATATTATAATATAATATAATATAATATAATATAATATAATATAATATAATATAATATAATATAATATAATATAATATAATATAAGCCAGCTAGCGAAGTGCTAGACCATCTTGTGCTGTACAGCAGCACTGCATGTGGACACGTTTATTTATTCGCACATTCTCAGTAGCCACATCTGTATAACTTATTTATTTAATCAAATAATTAATTTATTTATATATAAATAATCAAATTTTAGTTTATAATTCACAATATTCATTTGCAGGTGAACCTCACTCCTTTGACCTCAAGAGGTGCTCTCGCGACAGACGCTAGAGGCCATGATCATTAGCCTCCTTGTTAGAGCAATCGACTCCCATATAATGAATCACTGGTTTGATCCCAACTCAGACTGGGTTGGGTGCAGTAGGACCGGTGGGTTACAATAATATAATATAATATAATATAATATAATATAATATAATATAATATAATATAATATAATATAATATAATATAATATAATATAATTTTAGTATTTATGCAAGTATTTTTATAAGATTTATATTGATTTAGTTTTTATTTTTACATACTATCACAGAATGCATGCTATGTAAAAATATTTTGTATTTAATCAAACTAAATATAATTATAAATATAAATTACATATAAATATTATAAAAATGGTGTAAATCATAGTTTAGTTCATAGGCACTTCATAACTTGATATGTCTGGCAGGTATCCGAGTTTGTCTCAGTCATCCAGACATCCTCCAGTTGAAAAAACTTTCTGGTGAAAAGAGAGCACACCTCTGAAGGGTTAAAGACTTCACTAATTTTCAATCAGCGTGTGGATTATCTATCATAACCTCAGGGGTCTGGACTCAATCTTAGAGAGAGTAGTGAAGTGGGGCAGAGATTTTTCCCTGGATAAAATCAATCTCTTCAGGATACCAGCCTTCACCTCACTTTACTGCTAACGCTGAAAGCGAATGTCCATTTGAGCCAGGGCCGAGGGCAAAGTATACCCTATCAGAGCCGAGCGAAGGGCAGTGTGGATATTGGGGGCTCAGGTGGTATATGGGGCTCAGCTGCCGGTCAAATGTACATCTCAGGTCAGAAGCTAGGTTTTTCAACTTCACAAAATAATCAGCACAAATCAAAGTCTCAGCTCCGTCCAGCCATACAGTCAAAAAAAAAAAAAGAGATACTCGCTTCTGGGAACAGACAAAAATCTCCAAAAACTAATTACTCTGGGATTTAACGATTGGCTCACAATATGGGTCAGGATACAATTTATCTCATCAGCTCCGGAGGACATTTTCCCCGCCAATTTTCATTTGCCTTGAAAACAAACGAGAACAAACTTCAAAGTAAAACAACAGCTTCCGCAATACAGGAAAGAACAATACCTTTGGTCCAAAACATGCCTATAAAAGCAATTTGACTCATTTATGTGTTCTTTCTCTGTTGCTGTGGGTTCAGACTTAGAAAAACAGATTGCACTGTGTGTTTTTGTACGATAGCTGTAATATGTTCACTTCTGCCCAAAGGACTCAAGTAGTTATTAGGTATTTGTTTTCTTGCTCCATTAAGTTGATGCATTATTTATGGGGAGAGAAGCCGCACAAACAATGCAGTGTTAAGAAATGAACGCTGCCAAATAATTTCCCCATTATTTTGCCATTTATGGAAGAGTGCCTTTGAAACTCCTCCAGTTGGAAAAGTGAATTGAGCCGGCACAAGGTTATTACATTTTGGTAATCTGTATACTGAGTGGGACTGTTACGTTCTCTCTGCTCTGAAGTGGCATGACTGTAATGTGGCATACTTGTTAAATTCGCACTAGGCTTCTAGGGCATTTGACACATCTGTTGGCTCTGTGCCACCCTTCCAAATGGGACGCCACTATCTCAATCCACAACGCACCTCCTCTTCATTTTTTTCGGCCTGACCAAAAGTCCCTTCCAGGAAAAAAATATTTGTTGTGCCTTCTGAGAAAACTATATAATCCTGAACAGAGTTAATCCAGTTTATCAACATTGCATTACGAGAAATGATTATAGCCAGAATGCCAGGTTAGATATACCAGACTATGCCATACTTTGTAGCAAAGCAAACTTCTTTATTTAAAACGCATGTATCCTCTTTCATTAAAAAATGTTTTAGACCCCACAAACTCCCACAGGCAAAACAAGTACTTTAAAATGTCTTTATTTGTGCTCTACAGAAGAAAGTCAATATTTTAACCATATGAAAGTTAGTACCAAGGTTACAGTGCATCCGGAAAGTATTCATAGCGCTTCACTTTTTCCACTTTTTTTTTTTTTATGTTACGGGCGTATTCCAAAATGGATTAAATTAATTTAATTCCTCATTTATTTCCTAATTTAATCATTTTAATGCACTGTATTGTAGTGAATGAAAAATAAAAATAAGACTAAAACCTTTAAAAAAAAAACTGAAATAAAAGTTAATTCACAATAAATAAATAAAAACTAAAACTAAATGAAACTAAAAAAAAGTCAACATAAAACTAACTGAAATAAAATAATAATAAACAAAAATAAATGATAATTTTCAGAATTAATAAGCACTCATTCTGTGGTGGAAAATCTGACCTGCGGCTGTTTAGAGAAACACCTGTCGATGTGCTTTTACAGACAAACTCATCAGTCAAGTGCAAATTTATAGACATTACATACAGTTATAATAATATCATCTATTTACCCTGTAACTGTTATATATCTCCCTTCCTTGTCTGAAATTTCTGATAGATACTTAAATTATATTTTTTGTGATATTTAAATTACTACTCCCCTTCGATGGTCTAACTTACAAGAAAAATAATACACCTTGCAGAATGCCATTCTCTTTAACTTCTCATGTTGCACTGGTGTGAGACGTGTCTCTTGCAATAGCACAATCTCTGCATTTTCCCTTTTCATTCATCAATATTTGACTTCTCTTAGCTGGGTTTAAAATCCCAATAACATTAAATGTAATAACTTTAGGGTAACTTTTAATCTTATTTTTGTTGTTTACTACCCACCCTTCATAACCAATATAGACCATTTTGAGGGATGTAAACAAAAACAATGGTCCCAATGTGTTTCCTGTTTTACATTTTTTAATTCCTATAGCTTCCGAGAATAAGAAAGCCTAATATTGATAAAAATTGTTATGATCGCTGTTTTAACATTGTTAATGTTGAATTGCCTTTTGTTACAGTATAGTTTGATAGAAACAGGAAATGTTCATAGGCCAATGACGTGACCACAATAAAATTGTCTATACAGTAAAAACCTTAACATTACCTCTCCCAAATAACAAATACTGATCCCAATGCATTTTTCAGAAAGTTGTTCAAAAACTCAATCATATTTGTGCCTTTTTTATCTTTAGGTATACTTTAGATTCTTAAATCGTCTCTATGGGTCTCACTTTCCTCCTGGTCGACCACTCAGGCTTCCAGGATAGCTTGGCGCTGTGTCAGGCGTTTGACTAGCATCACAGTCTCAGTTTTGTCGATTCTTTCCTCTGATTCTTCCTCCAACCATTTGTTCTTTTTAATTTCTTTTTCACGAAGTTCATTAAGAATGCACCGCAGACTGACCATGAGCTGATGTCGGAGAGCAGCTTCTATTATCTTGCTGGTTTCAGGCTCATTTTCTACCACACATGTCATTGTCTTACTCCTCGTAGAGGCCCCTTTCTCCATTGTTGCTTTCAATATTCCCAAGATTTTACAAAATCAAATTTTTAAGGGTTATCTTACAAAACCGTCAGGGTTCTAGAAAATTAGGCTGTCATCCTCTTAGTGGCGTAACCGGAACTCTCTCAAGTACAAATACAAATACAAAAATATAAATATAAAATAATATTCTAACTTTTCTACTTTTGCCAAAAAATGTCAACTAGCTATGTAACTACATATAAAGTGCAGTATGATCTTTAATATAAAAAGATTGTCGGAACGCTTAATATGTTTTACTTTTATTAATTGCATCTAAATGGTAATGGATTCAGTGTCTGTTTAAACAATTATTTTATTTTTATTACTAAGATGAACTTTGCCCTGATTGACACAGGACGTGTTCTGTAAACTTAAACTAAATATACAATATACAATATATATATATATATATATATATATATATATATATATATATATATATATATATATATATATATATATATATATATATATATATATATATAATAATAATAACAATAACAAAAATAATAATAATAATAATAATAATAATACATTTTATTTGTAATGCGCTTTTCAACAATAAAAAACATAAAATACCTAATGGTAAAAAATGACAGAAGTCCTCATAGATTAAAAGCAATACTAAAAAATAGTAATAGCAAAAAGCAATACTTCTTAAAACAGTACAGGGAACTGGCATTCCTAATGGTTGTCGGTAAAGCATTCCATAATTTAGACGCCACAATTGCCCTACCTCCCATATTGTTGAGTCTGCAACCCGATGCAGAACATAAACAGCGAGAAGAAGAAGAAGAAACAGTCACCAAATGACAGATGTAACCAGAAGCAGAACCATGAAGCGTTTTATATGCTAAAATCAGGGTTTTAAAATCATTTTGTGGCTTGCCCAGTAGCCAGTGTAGCTGTTGAACTATGTGACAGTGTGGCATTGTGTGTGTCAGCACGAGTACAGCTGAGTTTTAAATGTGCTGTAATGTTTTAAGAGAACTACTGTAGCTAGTAGACCCCCAAAAAGTGAATTACAGAAATCTAATCGAGATGTGACAAAAGCATGACCAATTCTTTCAGTGTCAGGGTCGAAAATAGAAATGTTTTCACAAAATAAAAAACTAAACTAAAACTTACAAAGCCATTAAACGAATCAATCTAAACCTAACCGAAGACATTAAAATAGTATCAAAATAAAACTCATTTAAACATCCAAAACTATCATAACCTTGGTGGGTACAATATTTTAGGAAAAAAACGTCCATTTAAAAAATGACACATAAAAAAAAAAGATTAATTCAACCTACCTCAGAATGAAATGTTCCACTGGTGATGTGCTTGATAGGAACACATAGAAAGTGGCAGTGTCTGTGGTCTTCAGTGGTTTCGAGGACGTCTGGATGATCACAGCTCCTCCAAGGCGCAAACGCATAAACGTGGGGTTTCCTGGAGGTGATCGCAGTAGGTTTACAGTCCCAATCTTCTTCATGGAGGTTCCATACACCTGCCGTCCTAGCTCACCATGTTGTGGACCCCTTCTTATCTTGCTTTCTTGCGGGACACATTGACCACTGGGACTGGGTCTAATTTGGTAATAAAGTTCAGCAACATTCCCTCTTTGATCACCTCTCTGTTCCCAACTGGACCTGCCTCCTGCAGGGTTGAACCATGATGGCTCGGGCCTTAGGTGCACCAAGCAGAAACCTCCATCTGCCGAAATAGAGCAGCTATCCCGGATTTCTTTAGATTCCCAAAAGGCGTATAGAGTAACACACATATACCCTCCTTCGTTCTGCCCTGGGACATTTTGAATAGGCCCCTCGCTCGTATCATCCCTATTGCCGGTTGCATAAAACAACACATACAAGGCAGGCGTAGATGATCGAACCTGACGGGCCAATATAAACGCTCGGATCCTGGGGCCAGTGTGGATCATATGCAATGGTATAGACTGCTCCAAAGACATGGAACCAAAGCTGACATTGATGGCTGGCTGGCCATTCAGTCCAGTCAGGATGAAAGGTTGTCTTTGTGCCCGCAGGCTTGAGTTGTCCATTACGTCCTGACTTGTCTCTCTGAGGAGGAGGTAGTCTGCATTGATGATTTGATAGTTCACACTTGGGAGAACAGCGAAAGGGGACATGGATCTTGGGTCATCTGACAACTCCACAACCTTCATTCCTTAAACAAAATTAATCGGATTATATTAGTATAACAAAAAGTACTACTTATGAAATATTAATGGAATTTTCAAGTAAATGACTCTAGTGGCCCCTAGAGTGCATGTCTAAATCAGGGCTGATTTTGTTTCAGGGACATGATTGGATATCAAGTAGAGAAACAGAACAAAAAATAAAATGCACATTTTAGCAGCTGTGTGAGAAATTCAGTAGTCCTTCGAATCACTTCTTTAGATACCTTCAAATAAGAGATTTCATGAAGTCTAACATTTCTAATTATGTCACTGCGTTACCCATGACTCATTTCTGAAAAGATGTCTTAGAGATGGTAGTACCATCAGGGATGGGAAAAAATACATTGAATTGTATTTTAAGATAAAATACAAAGTACTTCAATTTTTAGTGTATTAAAGTAAACTACAAAATACAGCAGCCACAAATGTATCAAAATAAAATATTGGATTTTGAAAATACTACAAAATACTTTTACAAGGGAGCATGAAATTTCTTCACAAATCCTCACCATTAACCTGATTTAGTGAAGTAAACAATGATTGATAACAACAGCTTTTCTCTGAGCAAGTTTAAGTCAGGTTTTCTGCACCTCATTCACCTCTACTGTACATGAGGAGGTATTTACCCTAATAGTCAAGGTTTTGTTATTTGAAAAAAATGAGTCCCCCTTTATTTCCTCTCAACAAACTTGTGATTAATATGTTTACTATGCCTTTAGTACAGGGGTGTCCAAACTTGGTCCTGAAGGGTCAGTGTCCTGCAGATTTTAGCTCCAACTTGCCTCAACACACCAGCATGGGTGTTTCTAGAAATGCCTAGTAAGTGCTTGATTAGCTAGCCCACGTGTGTCTGATTGGGGTTGAAACTAAACTTTGCAGGACACCGGCCCTCCAGGGCTAAGTTTGAGCACCCCTGCTTTAGTACAGTACCTACTTTTACAACTGGACAGCACTGGTGGGTGGGGGATGGGGGAATTACTTTTTGTTTGTATAATTATTATTTTTATGACTGTTTTTTTTTTCATGTCTAATAGTTAAAATGTAAGTTTAATGTTTATATATTTTTTTAAATTTATTTACAAGTGAATGTCTGCTAAAATGTATAATAATAAAAATAATTTAACCAAAAATAAAATACAATTCTGTAATTGAATGGTTTATTATTATTGCCAGTCAATAATTCATTGCACAAAAACATTGATAAGCTCCTCCTATGCTTTTAATTACTGCATTGACATCATATTTAAAGTATATCAGACAACCTGTTGAGGTTTAGCTTAATTTAGATGAACATGTTTAATTGGATATGCAATCTTTTAGAAAAAAATTACTCATTAGAAAGTTAACAAGCATATCTATTTTCCAATTCTAATTATGCATGATTGAATGCTTAGTTGCATTTTATTATTTGCATATTTTCCTGTCTCTAACTCCATCCAACAAATCTGAGATGCATCCCGCCATTAGTGATTGACTCCTCTATATGAGAACCCGTAATGAAAGCTTTCATTCAAAAACACGGTAAAGGCAAGGTTACTTTCACACAACATTATGCTTGGTAAATATGCTATCAAAATGGGGGGTTTTATGTTCCACACTGCAAAATCTCAGCACTACTGCTATTTCTATATTGCAGAGTTGTATTTCAGAGAAGTCATTTGCTATGGCATTCCTTTCTCATTCAAAGTCAGAGTACAAAAAAAAAGGAGATTGGTCTAAACCTGTCAGCAAAAACCTATCATTCTATTACTGTTTGAACCTCTCCCCAGTGTGCTGGTCTATAATCTTTTCAGAAAACATTTCCATAGATGTCAAGCCCACAAAATGTTTTTGCTACTTCAGTAACACCAAAAAACACATTTCCATTGGTGCTGGATGGTTTGGAATAAAGCAACGCATTGGGGAGGCAAAAATAGTCAACATCACTCTGATCAGGTGTACTGTGTCCAGACAAGCATCTTGTCAAATCACTCATCTGGGAGAGATGCTTTAACCTTTACCTTCTGACAGGCGGCAAGGGCTACACTGCCTTCTGATTGCAGCATTGAAAAGCTGAAGGTTGATCTTGACATGCTGTGCGTTTTTGGAGGAGTTTGTCAAATGCTGGTCTGAGTGTCATATTGATATGTGAAAATGATTGCTATTCCAAAGAAAAAAAAAATCCAATGCACTGTGCTGTGCAGCGAAACATTAACAATTTAATTAAAACATGGTTATATTTGTTAGTATTTAAATATATATTATAATGTAATAATGCACTGTACATTATATTGGTTTTCTATGATGAAAAAAAACTTTAAATGGCACCTATGGTAAAAATCATCTTTTTGAAGCTGTTAAGACAGAACTGTGTTTAGGTAGAGCGTGTCCACAGTCATATTGGAGTGATATAAAGACAATGTCTCTTTTTTTATTTAAAATAGGATCCAAATCCCTTCCATTCTGAGGCCCACCGCAAAGGGACGTAGGAGTGCAGTTTCCTCGCCTACTGATTTGATTGACAGCTGGGTATTACCATATCTAACATGTATAATCATATCAACAAGACAGTATGTGCACAAAGTAACCGGAATTAAAATATCTGTTTGGCTCTCTGTGATCATCAATCATTATAAAATGTGTTCAAGAATGAGTTTTACAAGTTTAAAACATTTTTAAACAGGGCATGTTTGTAATGAATTACAGCGATTAAACTGTCTTTATCACTGCAGCTGCATGTCAGTACAATTATAAAAGAAAACGCTTCAATCCCGGTTTGTGGACGTTAAATCAGGTTTATTTTGTAAATAAACATAACGGATATCCATAGAGCAGTGGATATTAACGTGGATCCTGTCATATTTGCGTGCAAAAACAGTGCAAAGTTAAACGCTAGCTCTGTGTGTGTGCATGTGAACTTTGTAACAACATTGTATGTGACTCATCGAAAGGCTTGAATTAACTCCACAACAAATACATCAAATAATCATTGGGAAAGTCCTTACTGTATTATTTCTCAGAGTGTTACGTGAGATCTGCTTCCTTCATGTCTGTCACTGTGCAGTTTATCTGACGCAGCCAGAGACTGAGACACTCTAACAGGCACGTGGGAACGGTAGGCGGGGAGAACTAGGGGAGAACATTAAAGGTACAGGCCACAAAAACAGATAATCGTGTTTAGAGTAAAATATTCCAATGATCTGAAAGCTATGATAAATAATCTGATGGGTTTTTTGGGTTGAAACTGTACAGACACATCCTGGAGACACAAAAGACTCATCTTAAATCTTAAAAAAAGGGGTAAAATAGGTGCCTTTTAAATTGAGTTTCAGTCAAAGACTGAAAGCTATGAAAGAGAACACACTATATTACTAAATAAAATTTAAAAAAAAAAAAAATTGTATGTACATGCTTTTACATGAGTATTTATTCACTCATTCATTAAATTTCCTTAAATTTCCATTAAATTTCTTTTGTCTCTTTATTTAATCAGGGGTCGCCACAGCAGAATAAACCGTTGACTTATCCATCATACGTTTTACACAGCGACTGCCTTTCCAGAAGCAACCCAGCACTTGGAAAGCTAAAGTATTTATTTGAAGAAATAAAAATAGGTGGCGTACAATAACTTTTGTGTTTATAGAAGTGCTAACGTTTCAATTTATGCAATTAATTTAACTTAATGTTGATCAACCTAAAATTTAAAACCATAAGTACAGGTTATAGTGCTTAAAGGGGACATTTAGGCATTACAATACATTCATTTTTAAAAATTAAACCACAGGAATGGAAAAAAATTAAAGATTTTTTTTATAAAGAATCCTGTATCAATTCAACGCCTGTTTTCAATTAAGTATTAGGATTATTTCAAAGTACCATAAACTTACATTAAAGTAATCAGTTTGACTTTCTAGAACAGGGGTTCCCAAACTTTTCAATTCGCAACCCCCAAAATAACATTGCCAGCGACTCGCAACCCTCAATATCCTCTGAGGTGGTAATAAATATATAAAGCTTGCACACAACAGTGCACACATACCATTAGGCCCAAGTCTATTGATCCTTTAATTTTAGAGAATGCCACTCGGAGACCATCCACCATGTTTAGTTATGGCCTGAATTTATTTTTAATATACGCGAGTGCTGTAAAAGTGTCAGAAAGTTTAACCTGAAGCCATAAAATCAATCTGCTGCATCTGACACTATTGCTGTGTCTTTAATTTAACGTAATCACCCCAGGGGTCGCATAAAAACTAAAGGCTGATGGCTTTTTATTTGCTTTTTATGTAACTATTTTATATTTCTTCTGTAGGTTAATTTTACTAGTTTAATTAAATTAATTCGATTTTTGGAGATCACCAAGTGACCCCCACTTTGGGAACCACTGTTCTAGAGGACACTAATCCATGTGGTAAATCATTCAACTGGCCTCCTATTGACTTTTGCCGAAATAAAAAGATAAACAATATGTTTGAATCTCATATGTGAAAGTGATGTTTCAAAGTAGGTTAATGGCTGAGCCTGAGGGGGAAAATGGACTAGTGTCAGTGCAGTGTCTAAGAACATTAGGCCAAACGTGACTGAGTTTGCACAGCTCAAACTAGGACTGAGCCTCTGCAGTGATGACAAGCCTATTTGTCAGACTCTCTAATTTCAACATTGCTGCTTTTGGCATTACTAAAATTCCAGAGCATATCAAGTTCAAATTATGAGCTTTCCAAGTAGGGTTTTATTCAACGTGAATGAAGACAATTCGAGCAAAATTCCCTCCTCACAGTTTCACTATTAAAAGCCATGGCGCAGACTTCAAAACACATGCGATAAAGTTTTAATTCCTCTATTAAATAATCCACTTACAGTAATAACCAAGCAGCTATTTGCATTCCGCAGTTAATTATATAAGTAAATTGCAATTAAATCTATATTTATTTTTTATGCAAAGCAACATTAATACCCATATGGAGCCAAAGTAACATTTATATTAATGTGCTCAGCTTAAGTGCACTTACCAAAAGTTATATCCAATAAAGTTCACAGCACAGGTTACAATTTTAATATGCAAATAAGTTGTATTAATGCAAACTTTTAGAGGTCTTTCAGCTCATTCCCTCACAGACATGACTTTCAATTGTGGCCACAAAAAGTCCATCTCCACCTGGACAGTTTTATGCAGGTTATTATATAAAATTACATTTTAAAAAGCCAAATAAATTAAAAAAACAAAATAAAAAAAGAATGTCTTACCTTCTGCACTGGATAGGCACAGCATGATAATCATCAGCAACATTGTGCTCGTCTGTACAAATCAGTCCAAACTGCAGCTTAAACTATTTTATTCCTCTAATGCATTTTTATGAGAGAAATGATGTGAGCTTTGAAACTAATTTCCAAATCAAGAAAAGTGACCATGGTGTCCTTACATGTCATGTAAAGTAAAAACAAATGTCCTGGTAGACACAAGGCTCAAATTAAATTACTGCTAAATGTTAAATAAACTACATAACGTGTTAAAGTACAGACTAAGCGCTGTCCCACTTCACGTGCTGCTGTTTGTGGACCTCACGTCCATCTGAGCCTGAACGATTAGATGTCACGAGCGTAATCCTCTGCAAATGAAATACATGTGCGCTTTATGTTGCCTCACACTCGCCTGTCAATGCTCTTCACTTTCAAGTGGACATGACCAACAAATATGACTTTTGTAACGTAAAAAAAAGTCCCTAAATGAACTTTTAACAGTTTCACAACACTCTACACAATGTTTACGTATTGTTTTGGGGGAAATCTATTAAAACGAGTAAAATTGAAACACTGGCGTGGTGTTTGACTTATAAGTTTGCGTAAATTTGGTTAAACTAAGTAAAATTAGTTATAGGATATCAATAAAATACTTTGAGAATGCACAAACATTGTGTCCGGATGATTGTTCAGTAGGCTAAAGCTGCAAGTTCTTTATGAAGCGTATAGACACTTCAGTGGTTTGAGAGCTGTATTTGCAGCGCGCAAGCGTCCCCTGTTGATGGCCAAACCAAAACAAGTGTCAGGAAGGACACGCTTCAGATGAACACAGCAGAACTGCACATTAAAAAGACTAACGTGATATAAAATGCATCAATATAAATCATTCAAACTGACTTTAGCAAATTATCGCGGGAAGCTAGTTTAAATGAAGCTACACAGATCCTCGAATCTAAACATGTCCTGTGTTTTTGATGCCGACAAAGTGTTTGGCACAGAACAGAGGTCCTCTCGAGTTTATGGTAACTGGACCTTTTATTAGGTTTATACGAGGTTTTTGTTATTTTACAACTAACTAATAATCAGAATTCAGAAAAATTTGTTAACTCACTTGAGGAGAATTTAAATACCTAAACACGTCATTGATCAGTGACCCACACCCAATATGGACGTCACGTTTACCCCTAGTCCACGCCCATCTCATGTTTGTAATTATGTGACTCTCTGTGGTATTTTACTCCTAACAATATATTTAACAAGATTAGTAGCCTTTCTTTTTTAATAAAATGAAAATACTCCACTGGAAATTATCTATTAAATTAGCTAAATTCTACCAACAAGCTCTATTAGCCTGGAAAATGATTTACAACCTCACACCACAAAACATTTTAATGTTTGGAATAATACTGACATTAAGATAAGTAATACATCTTTTTGGGGAATTAATGGTTCAAAAAACATTATTTTTGTTTCTGATCTTTTCAATCAAAATTGGGATCTCTTAACTTAAGTAAATGACATCAGTAAATGACAACAAATTAAAACAAAGGTCAGATGTACAAAACAAATTATGGAAAATAATTTTAGTCTTAAATACTGTAGAAATAAATAGTGGTGATTTTTTTTGGAAGTGATCTCATAATTAGTCCCATAGAGAGTGAAAATGATACTAAACATGAAGATCCACAAGATACGCCATATTAAAAACTTGTACATTCTGTGTGGAATGTGAGTGAGCGGCTCTGGTGGAGAAGGTGAAGTCGAGGGCAGAGAGAGGGACTCAGGATGCATGACCGAGACAGTTGAGTACTGGTTTCCTATAGCTGATCTTTTTCTTATATTAGAAAGTTTATTGTTTTAATGCATGACAACTCTCCTGGAATACCATAGCAGTTCTTGGGGTCTGATATTATGGAGAGACCATCCTTGCAGTATCTTTTTCTTATTATGGAAATCAAGGGGGGCAGCAACCATTCTTCAAAATATCCACTTTTGTGTTCAACATCAGAAACTCACAAAGGTTTAAAACCATTTGTTATTACATTACATGTGTTGTTTTAATAATTCAGTGTGTGTGGGTAAATCTAAAATGAATAAGGTTTTTAAAATTTAAATCCCAAACCACAGCAGTGCGTAATTTGATGTTTGATGCAAGCCCTTATAGCCCCTGATATATAGCCCTTGAGACAACTTACCTGTGCGACAACTATTTCTCAAATAGCTTTAGTCACATATTGAAATATTTTCAGACGTAGTCAATGCATCATTATGACATGTTAGGTTATATATTCCCAGAGAGATATACTTTAGCAATTCACTTTATATTCAGAGTCAGTGTGAATTACTAAACTCTCTGTGATTTCTGACTAAAGAAGATCTCGCTAAAGGGAGCGTCATCAATCTCCTGTCAGTCACAACACACGGTGTGACCTGCTCTGCTGCTCTGTTGTGCTTGATGATGTCAATCGCCAATACGAAGCACGATTTTATGTCCTGCTCTCTGATAAGTCCCACAAATTCCTCTACAAGGACACACATGGCACCAACCGTTAATGCAAAGAATAAATCATACCGCTGCTCATGCCAGATGAGGTTAGGTGTAAGTGTTAGTGCCCTACACAAAGGCAAAACTTATGGATATAATGCATGCATTGTGAATTTTAACATGTGGACATGGATTTCATCTGGAATTTAATCAAACCAGCAACCAGTAGATCCCTCTATTTGCTGGAAACAAATGCAAATGCTTTTGAAAATGAATTTTCCCCCATGGCCCAGTTTACGTACCATTATCATATCAGTCCCATCTGCTCTGATGTCCAGATGTTAGCAGTGTGAGCCAGACCACTGTCGTGAACTGTAATACTCAAAGGTGAACTACAGTTTAGTAGTGATAATATGTAATGGTGGTTAGCATCAGTGTGTTTGACCCATTTTAACAGCCTGTTCCACTAAGAAGAATTCTTCAAGGTGAATAAAGTACAACTACAGTTTACTTCAGTGTTTTTTTTTCTTGATGAGGAGCGTTATGTGATGATATGTTGCCACAGTAACCCAGAATGACAGTAAACCTACTTAGAGAATGAAATATACCACAATGACCACATGTATCTCAATCTCACCAAAGTCCATGACGGACTCCATGCTGCTAAATGATTAGACCACCCTTCACATAAATCAAAATCTGAGATGTCACCGGTATACACAGTACTGTAAGAAATGAAAGCTTTTGGCATTAAAGGATATTCCTAAAGACAGATTGATAGGCAGAGTCTAGGAAAGCCGTTGCTCTGCTTCCTTTAGAAAAAGTCAATTGCAAATGTATATGCTGTGCTGCAAATGGAGTAAATCCAACCCCAAAGAGCACTTTGGGGCGAGTATAATAATGGCCGCCATTTTGAAAAGTCATTACACAGTAAATCACGTCATAACTGACCCTACACAAGGTCTCTGTCTTCTTTCTGAAAAATGCTTCTGCAGATTCATTGAGACATTATGTTTAGACGTTGATACTATTCCCATAGAAATACATACAGTAATTCTGAAGATGTGAATAACTGTGAGATGAAAATCAGATGTTGTCATTTTGAAATGACAGTCATTATGACATGGTGTGAACACTGCAAATATTCAGTGTTGATCCTCAGAAGTGCTCATTGTCACAACTGTAAACTCAACAGCTTCTTCTTCCATATGAGGGGGACTGGTTTTGATTACAGGTTGACTATAATGAACACAAGCAAAATGACTTCTTGAAATCCTGTAGAATTCAATGACCTGAAGTGTTTTCTATTTTTTTGTGCCGTATGTATCAGGGGATCAGACATTGTCTGAAAATGAGATTAACATAGTGGTGTCCAAACCTGAGCTGGAGGCCTGATGAGTTTATCTTCAACCCTAAAACTAAATAGATATAGCTATATCTCAACTTGTTTGGCCATGGGACCCGAATTTTTGCTGGTCATTAAGCCAATAATTTCCCTCCTTTTTCATATAAATGGAAAGAAAAAAAATAATGGTTGTAGCTTTCCCTACAAATTAATTCTGCAGGAATCCTGTGGGATTTTGGCTTTATGTAGAGGGATCCTGCAGGAATCATGCAGGACTGAATTAAAATCCTATAAAGGACAGAGTATGTTGCCACTGGTTGCTACAGAAGTGGCAGAAGAACTGATGTCCTTTAAACTTGTAACATCCTGCAGAATTAATAGCATTCCTGAAAGATGTTTTGCTGCAATGTGAAAAGTTGAATTTATTCAAATGCCCAAATTGGCAGCATGTTTTTTTTTCATTTAACTGTAATCTGTTGAAAAGTGTCATTTAAAGGGTGGTAAATGCTAAACATTTATATATTTATACATATATATATATATATATATATATATATACATATACACACACACACACACATATATATATATATATATATATATATATATATATATATATATATATATATATATATATACATATATATACATATATATATATATATATATATATATATATATATATATATATATATATATATACAATGGCCACTTTAGGTACACCTTACTAGTACTGGATTGGACCCCTTTTGCCTTTAGAACTGCTTTAATTCTTTGTGGCATAGATTCAACAAAGTACTGAAATATTCCTCAAAGATTTTGGTCCATATTGACACAATAGTATCATGCAGTTGCTGCAGATTTGTCAGCTGCACATCCATGATGCTAATCTCATGTTCTACTACATCTGGTGATTTGGGAGGCCATTGAGTAGAGTGAACTCATTGCCATGTTCAAGAAACCAGTCTGACATGATTCAAGCTTTATGACATTGAGTGGCATCCTGCTGGAAAAAGCCATAAGAAGATGTGTACACTGTGGTCATAAAGGGATGGACATGTTCAGCAACAATTCACGAGTTCGCACTTGCATTCGTTTAAGTATAAAGCATATTTGGCGTGCTGTCCGGGGGGAGGGCTCTGAGCTCGAGGAGACACCCCAACTCGAGTTATTCCCCTTATAAGGAAACGAAGAGGAGTTGGGATTCGAGCGAAGTATCTAGCCCGGCCCCAGAGCGCTCCCCCCGGGAATGCAATGCAAGAGGTGAGGTGACGGGGTGGTGGAGGGATGCTAAAGTCGTGAGATGCTGCAGGTAGGACAGCTTTGGTATATATAGGCGTTGCTCAGAAACTGATTTGATGATGGGATAATTGTAAATGACGTATTCGATACTGAAACTTCTGCGCATGCTCCTCCCGAAATTTGTTTACAAACATCACTTCACGAGTTCGCACTTGCATTCGTTTAAGTATAAAGCATATTTGGCGTGCTGTCCGGGGGGAGGGCTCTGAGCTCGAGGAGACACCCCAACTCGAGTTATTCCCCTTATAAGGAAACGAAGAGGAGTTGGGATTCGAGCGAAGTATCTAGCCCGGCCCCAGAGCGCTCCCCAAAAAACGCTATTTGTTACAGGACAGCAGCCAGACAATATGCAAGCCCCCCAAAATTTGCTGATCTTAAAAAATTTGGAGGGGTGCTGTTGAGTTATAAGGTATGTGTTTCGGGAGGAAGCAGTTGCTGTGTTGATAGTGGTGCATGATGAATGTCTCTAGCAAGAGTGTCTGCTCCCACAGGAGACGGGCGTCTTCCGTGGGAGTGGTCACTGCATTAGCAATGTTGTGTGTTAAAGTATGCATCTCCGTAATAGCTGTCACTGTGCTGACAGTGGTGTGTGATGAGGTATGAGTCTCTCAGAGGAGTGGTCATTGC